TGTGGTGGCACGTGTCTGTGGTCCCAGCTGCTCAGGAGTCTGAGGTGGGAGAATCACTTGAGCCTGGGAGGTGGAGGTTGCAATGAGCTGAGATCGTGCCATCATTGCACTCCAGCCTGGGTGACAGAGTGAGACTGTCTCAAAAAAAAACAAAAGGTCAGAAGTAAGATTCACATGAGTTGCTTCAGGATTAATACTCAGATTCTGCAAAACAGATTGCCAATTTGAAAACTCATCTATACGGCCTAATAGGAGTCCCCCTCTGCCATCAGTGGGTAATGCTCTTTGTCAGACTTACTTCCTTGGAAAGCACTTTTTTAGATCGCCTTGTCCTGGTTCTCCTTGGCTTCTGTGTAACCCAAGTGTGTTTTTAATTGAATTCAGAAGGATTCAGTGAATGATATTTTCATTTCCTACAGAGCATATTTCTCTGGAATGATCCATCAAAGCCAACACTGACAAAAACGGCCTCCGTGATGCTTTTTCACGCACATTTTCAGAGATAAGACACCTTGCCCAAGCAACATTCAAGCGTCTGTGACTCACAGAGCTCAGTTCCAGGCAGTCTGGTGAGGCAACAGGGAGCTCACTGTGGTTCCGAATTGCAGATCAGTTTGAAAGAATTCCTACCAAGTGGCTTAATGGAATGTAGCATCACCTTATTTACATTAGTGTTGATGTGACTGTGATGACAAGCCAACCCAGTTATGAGTAGCTTAGTGAAGCATCCCAGAGATGTTTTTATTTAGGCAGCAGTGATTTGGCAGAAGGAAAACAAGTAAGCAGTCCAGGGTTTTGTAGGCTGGTCGTTACGCTCCTGTTGTGGTGGAGGCATGGATCTATGAATAGGTATTACTTTTGTGAAGAGCATAAGGAACATTCTGCAGTCACTTTGTTTCTCACTTCCCCACTTTAATCCATGCTCGTCTGGTCTCTGCCCATGTGTGAAATGTTAGTATTAATTATCTGCTGTGTAAAACATGCTTGTATTTGTTATCACTCCTCTAGTCACTGGTGTTCTGCCATATCCATTGGGTTCCCTTCAGTCCTCATCTTGATCTGCTGCATTCATACTGTTAACCTTTAAAACAAACAAACTCTCCTTCCATCTCCCTGACTTCCTTACTAGTTCCACAACACTTAAATGTTGGTGCTGGTGCCTTTGCCCTCTTCAGTCGTGTGATCTCTTGATCTCCATACTGTGGCTTCAACTACCACCTTGGCAGGGAAGTCCTCAAAGACCACCTACTTTTTTGTTTTTTTTAAGACGGAGTCTCACTCTGTCACCCAGGCTGGAGTGCAGTGGCATAATCTCGGCCCACTGCAGCCTCCACCTCACAGGTTCAAGTGATTCTTCTGCCTCAGCCTCCCCAGTACTTGGGACTACAGGCACGTGCCACTACGCCTGGCTAATTTTTGTATTTTTAGGAGAGAGAGGGTTTTGCCACCTTGGCCAGGCTGGTCTCGAACTCCTGACCTCAAGTGATCCACCCGTCTGGCCTCCCAAAGTGCTGGGATTACAGGCATGAGCCACCGCGCCCAGCCCAAATCTTTATTTCTAATTTTACTTTCTGCTAAAAAAAAAGACAGACACTCAAATGATAGTATTTTATTATAGAAAAAGCATCCCAAATACAGGATTTCGTAAACACTGGTAGGTGAACAAGTGCAATTTAAAAGTAAATACAAAGTAAAGAGGCAAAACCTACAAGCATTTTGCCTTCAGAAGAAAATGTATGTTCTCCTGCACTAGTGATCCCACCCAGAACACAAATATGGCTCCGTCTCCCATGAAGGCATCAGATTTGCTTTCTGAGCTCAGTATACCCATTTCAACAATTGCAAAGTGATGGCAAGAAGTGGCATTGAATACATTACTACAAACCTTTGACTTAAAATGTTGAGACAGGGTCTTGCTCTGCCATCCAGGCTGGAGTGCAGTGGCGTCATCGTATCTCACTGCAGCCTCATCCTCCTGAGCTCAAGAGTCATCCTGCCTCAGCCTCTTGAGTAGCTGGGACTACAGGTATGCACTACCATGTCCATGCCTGGCTATTTTTTTATTTTTTATGTTGCCCAGGCCAGTCTCAAACTCCTGACCTCAAGTGATCCTCCCACCTTGGCCTCCCAAAGTGCTGGGATTACCGGCATGAGCCACTGCACCCAGCCAAAACCTTTTTTTTCTTTCTTTCTGAGACAGAGTCTTGCTCTGTTGCCCAGGCTGGAGTGCAGTGGCACGATCTTGGCTCGCTGCAACCTCCACCTCCCAGGTTCAAGCAATTCTCCTGCCTCAGCCTCCCAAGTAGCTGGGACTACAGGCGCTCGCCACCACACCCAGCTGATTTTTTTTGTATTTTTAGTAGACACGGGGTTTCACTGTGTTGGCCAGGCTGGTCTCAAACTCCTGACCTTAGGTGATTTGCCGGCCTTGGCCTCCCAAAGTGCTGGGATTACAGGCGTGAGCCACCATGCCTGGCCAAAAACCCTGCTTTTTAACTTCAGAACACTTAAATGTTAACAATACATTATAAGCCTTTCCAGGGCCTAGGGGAAACCATTAAATGATCTGACTCACTTTAACACTGTCATCTTGCCCGCCCTCCAACTCCTCAGTGGCAAATGTTTCCTCATCGAAACAGCATGGTATGATGCAGATGCAAACTCAAGATTCTAAACTTCAGATTCGGGTTAATCTCGGCTTGCCAATTACTCTGGCTAAAACCATTTTCTTATGAAAATGTTTCTCTGTCAACAGCCTGGCTTGCTTATTTAGGCACTTAGAAGAAAACACCAACCCAAGTTCCACCTTTTTACGATTACAAATGCCTCTTACCCATCTGGCCAGTAACCAACTATGAAGGGGGTGACTTCAACCCAGCCCTTGTTTCTGTGAGGACTGAGAGGTCCTGCTTTTGCAGAATGGCCTGCCCCTGGGAATGGAGCAGGCTTGGGTGAGCTCCAGGTGGAGGGTGATGGGTGGGCATAGACATAAATCTTCCTCTCCACCAGAAGGAACCTGTGATCCCAGCTTTTCCTTCAGTCACCACCACCTCGTGACACTAGAAAGCCTACCATCAAAGATTTCCAGCTTACTGAAACCCCACAGGTTGGGGTTAAATGCATGTTAACCTAACTTGGGGGAAAAAAGACCTCAATCTGGAAAGCCTGAGCAAAGTAAAGGGTTACACAGAACAGTGTCAAGTATATGCCATACTTCATACCTGGTATTTTCCCTAAGCAAGAACTAATTAGTTTTCATTTTTAAGTGTTAGTTGTGGCATGTTTACACTTAAATGTTAACAATACCTAAGCTGTGAAACAGAAGTTATACATACTTATTATGGAATATACAAACACTAGGTAATTCAAATTTCCTTTGTAATGGCATGGAAGTCTACTGAGAAGCAGAAAGGAAGCACCATTTAACAATTATCTGGGCTAGTCAACTGGTAGTGGGTATAAATGTACTGGTAAGGTCAAGGCCAAACCTGACCTCAAATATGAGCCAATTAGTTTCATAGAAGTAAAATTACCTTCTAGCTACAAATAATCCTAACCCTTAATCCAGGCCATTGGCCTTGCAAATGGATGCCAATAGTCATCTGGTGGGAATAGCTCAATTTAACCACTTACTACATCCTAGTGAAGAACAGAGTATTAATTTCCACAGTGATGCCAGTCATACGTAGAGAACATAAGAACACTTCTTCAGCCCTGGAAAGAGCTTTTCAAATCTACCCGGCTTTTAACTTTGGATGATTATGACTAGGTCATTACATGGAATTGAGTAGCCTCTCCTACACAGGATGAGCATCCCAAATCCAAAAATCCAAAATCTGAAGTGCTCCAAAGTCTTTTTTTTTTTTTGAGTGCCGACATGATGTTCAAAAGCCTTTCAGATTTCGGGTACTTAACTGTTAGGTATTCCAAAATGTGAAACCTGAAACCTTTCTGGTCCCAAGCATTTTGGATAAGAGATACTCAACCTGTATTCCAGTCAGCTTCTACCACAAACTGGGAGATAATCCCAAAATACTTTTATCTGGCTCTGGACTCTAAATTTAGCGGTACTATTAATAGCCATGGAGAAGAGGAAGGAAGATGGTTCAGCACTGTGGGGGCTGAGAAGGGTGATCTGGGTGATCATGCACTGATAATAGAGCTGATAGATCAAATAAAATGACCGGGCTTAATTTCCATTCAACTCACCCTTCCTTTAGGGATGACATTGGTATAATTTTCTTACCCAATGTGTGAGCAGCTATTAGGCTATTTCAAGAACCAAAATACACTGATATCCAAAAATCCCATGGTATGAAAAGATAAGAGAAAAATCCTGCTAGGACAGCGACTGTGCAGATGATGCTTCCCACCCAGCTTCACTGCATACACCCCGTGCTGGCACTCTTACAAGTCTTTCTGTTGAGAAGTGAGCAATTGTGAGCAATTTCTGTCCTCATCTTAAAAGCCTTTAAGCCATATCTAAGGTCTCCTAGCACATCCACAGCAATGTGCTGCTCCAGAGTGTTAAGACCTATGGTTTCACACCAGATTCCAAGCCAGGATAACCCAATTGGCCTGATTTGGAGGTTCTTCTACTTGTGAGTTTCATTCCAAATGAATCATCCATTTGTTTTTAGACTCCAAAACCTTGAAGCTAAAAAGGTCTCATCAACATTATTATTCCATTATCCTTCCTGCCAAAGAATCTGTGGTTTTGAATTGTTTGCTGCGTTAATGAGAAGCAAATCTGAATTTAACCTCTTAGGAATTTCCTTTTGGACATTCTGAACGAGACCCTAGTTCTTTTCCAGATGCAATTTGGGTGCAGAGGCCACCAAGAATGGCATCTTCATTAACCTCTAATGAGCATCCGATTGGTGCCTGTTTTTAAAAGTTAGAGATTGTCACCTTTTAAGTTTGGTCCCTTTGCTACTAAGCATTTGCCTGGTATAAAACAAAACAAAAAAAACCCAAGAACAGAGTATAAGGATAAGGACTGCTTTGCTAAACACAAGGCAACAGTCTTGACTTCCTTTCCTGCTTTTGCCGTTACACAAAGACTCAGTGAACAGCACCAGACCCAAATTTTTCAAGTTATCAGGATGCTGCAAAGATGGTAGCTAATTTGAGTACTTCTTCATCCCCTGCCAGAGGCACAGACTTACTGGAAAGGACACATGTTAATTATGGGAGAAAGGAAAAGGATAGGGGAGAAGCATGATTCCTACTCAGGGTGAGACAAATCATGAGGGAGGGCTGGCTGCAGGCATCTTAGGTGAGATGGGCTCCCACAAGGGGTAGACCCACAGCTGGCCCTAATCCTGAAAGTCGTTAGAAGCCATCTGAGAAAGTGGGGCATTTAGCCGGTCAAGTTCATCCACTTGGGGTGGGTGATGCATTAATATTTCATGGTCCTCCAAGACATCATCTCCAGCAGCTACCAGATTCGTGAGGGATTTGCTTCGAACACACTGGAAATCCACATGGCGACTCTTCCCTTCTTCCTTTTCCCATGACATCTGGATGAAGGGGCGTTGTACGTAATTATAGATGACTTCAGACCGGCCACCAGGCCTTCTCTTAATTTTTTCTTTACAGGTAGGGTAACCTGCAACGGAAAAAGGCCATTCTCATGACTAACACATTGTGCTCACTCTGCTGTCCATACTTTCTCCTTTGTAACCACATCAGTTTTCTCCCAAAATCACAGCACAGAAAATATGTGGGAAGTGACCAGTCCCTGCCCCATGCTCTCCCAGCCCCAGTCACTTACATGTTCACTTCCTTTTAGTCAGATAGTAGGTCTTGTCCCTAGAAGGAACTAATCTGAGAAGTAACGAGAATTCTATCCCTTCTAATGGAAAGGAGAGAAGCCTCTAACTAGTTCAGGAGCCTGTTGTTGCTGGCAACAATACCATAGAACAAAAATCCTGCCAAGGCATGGCTACCCTAGTCCTCTTAATTCTGTTGCTTAGAGGGCATACTGTATGAGAAATAGTTAAGGAAATGTGGAATGTTTAGCCTAAAGAAAAAACAAAGATGCTGCCTAAAATATGTGAAAGTCTGTCACATGGAAATGGGAAAAATAGTCAAAGTAGCTTCAGAGGCTATTAACTAGAAGGCACGCAGGAGAGGGAGGCCGTTATGTATTAAATATGTATGGCATAATGTTCTAATGGTAAAACAGTTTGATGGGTGGTTCTGGGAAATGCACCCAACAGACAAGGGAAAGACCGAGTAGGAGGAGATTTAATAATCTCAAAAATGTCTTCCGGCCGGGCGCAGTGGCTCAAGCCTGTAATCCCAGCACTTTGGGAGGCCGAGACGGGCGGATCACGAGGTCAGGAGATCGAGACCATCCTGGCTAACATGGTGAAACCCCGTCTCTAATAAAAAATACAAAAAACTAGCCGGGCGAGGTGGCGGGTGCCTGTAGTCCCAGCTACTCGGGAGGCTGAGGCAGGAGAATGGCATGAACCCGGGAGGCGGAGCTTGCAGTGAGCTGAGATCTGGCCACTGCACTCCAGCTCGGGAGACAAAGCGAGACTCCGTCTCAAAAAAAAAAAAAAAAAAAAAAGTCTTCCAAGGCTGGGCACTGTGGCTCACACCTGTAATTCTAGCACTTTGGGAGGGCAAGGCAGGAGGATCACTTGAGTCCAGGAGTTCAGAACCAGTCTAGGTCAGAGGGAGATCTCATCTCTTAGAAAAAAGGTTAAAAAAAATAATAATGGAGCACAGTGGTGCGTGCCTGTGGTCTCTGCTACACGGCAGGCTGAGGCAGAAGGACCAGTTGAGCCCAGGAAGGCAAGAATGCAGTAAGCCATGATTGTGTCACTGTACTCCAGTGTGAGCAGAAGTACTCCAGTGTGTCTCTTTAAAAAAAAAAAAGAAAAGTCTTCCAACTTTATATTCAACTTAAGTCAGACACAATGAAGCTTTGACAGGTTCTGTGGGCAGAAATGAGGCCACAAGAGTAGCAAAGCACAAGAGTCAAACAAAGATCCACGTAGGAGGTCAGGCGCGGTGGTTCATACTTGTAATCCCAGCACTTTGGGAGGCGAGGTAGACGGATCACGAGACCAGAAGATCGAGACCATCCTGGCTAACATGTTGAACCCCTCTCTACTAAAAATACAAAAAATTAGCCAGGTGTGGTGGCGAGTGCCTGTAGTCCCAGCTACTCAGGAGGCTGAGGCAGAAGAATCGCGTGAATCAAGGAGGCAGAGCTTGCAGTGAGCCGAGATGGTGCCACTGCACTCCAACTGGGTGACAGAGTGAGACTCCATCTCAAAAAAAAAAACATCCACATAGGGAGACCAGATGACTTTAGCACTCTCCAGGAATCAGTCTCTTGAGAGCCTTCCATGGGGACCACAGGCTGGGAGCCACTGTTCAAGATCATTCAAAGTAGTTCTGTTAATATATTCAGACATTCCTCAAAAGTATGGAATAATCTTTTTTTTTTTTTTTTTTTTTTTTTTTTTTTTAAGACAAAGTTTAACTCTTGTTGCCTAGGCTGGAGTGCAATGGCACGATCTCAGCTCCCTGCAACCTTTGCCTCTTGGGTTCAAGTGATTCTCCTGCCTCAGCCTCCTGAGTAGTTGGGATTACAGGCATGTGCCACCATACAAAAATACAAGTTTTATATTTTTAGTAGAGACAGGGTTTCTCCATGTTGGTCAGACTGGTCTCAAACTCTTGACCTCAAGTGATCCGCCTGCCTTGGCCTCCCAAAGTGCTGGGATATAGGCATGAGAAACTGCGCCCGGCTGGAATAATCTTAAATTTTGAGTCCCCAAGTTATTTTTTCAGAAGGACCCTTCCAGATGCCAGAAACATCTTCACCAAGATTGGTGGCAGAACAACGCTCTCACCTGGTGAGCCCACAAACCCTGCTATATCTCCCTACCACTGTCCTTGCCCTCACTGCTCTTTATCCTGAAGTAGTAAACTCGAACTTGTTTCTGTGGCTGCTCTGAACCATTTTCAACTGGAGATAAAATGAAAAGAAAAATGACAAAAACAAAAACAGGAACCCTTCAAACTTGAGTAAGAATGTGGTTTTCATGTATGCCTATTTTCTAGGCCCTCTGGAGGCTAAATTTTGAGGACATAAGCTGTGGCCATAGACCCAACCTGAATATTGACTGGGATTTTTTTTTTTTTTTTTTTTTTTTTACCTTCAATTCCAATGCGAATGTTTTTCAGGCCCCGTTCCTTTAACACTGTTTTTGCAACATCCCTATTCTCAATATATTTGAAGAATCTGTACAGCTTGGAGCTATAAAGAACTGTAAAAGAAAAAATAGGGGTTAGCCATGGAGTAAAGACCTAAGAGGAAAGAGATAAGCTAACAGAATCAAACTAATGAAAGATATACTTGACCACTAATCCCAAATAATCCAGATGGATCAAATATTAAATGTTAAATAATACATAAACCATAAGAGAAATTTTTATAGTCTCAGGGTGGGGACTTTCTGGGTACAACGTTAAACCTAGAAGTCATAAAAGCTGATGATTATAGAAATATAACATCTCTGCATAGCCTAAACCACCATTTACCAAAGCTAAAAAGACAACCGAATGAGAAAATATTTGCAACTCATAAAAGGCTAATTTCCTTAATTAGAAAGAGCCGCCACAAATAGAACTTTCACAAATCACTAAGTAAAAGGACTAACAATCTGATTTCATAATGTGGCAAAAGGCACAAACACCATTAACAAAAAAGGAAATTACAATGGCTCTTGAAAACTAAAAAGGTTTTGGCTGGGTGTGGTGGCTCACACCTGTAATCCCAGCACTTTTGGGAGGCTAGGCAGGCGGATCATGAGGTCAGGAATTCAAGACCAGCGTGGCCAAGTTGGTGAAACCCATCTCTACTAAAAATACAAAAAAATTAGCCAGACCTGATGGCGGGCACCTGTAATCCCAGCTACTCAGGAGGCTGAGGCAGAGAATTTCTTGAACCCGGGAGACAGAGTTTGCAGTGAGCCAAGATGGTGCCACTGCACTTCAGCCTGGGTGACAGAGCGAGACTCTGTCTCAAAAAGAAAAAGAAAAAAAAAAAAAAGATACTGAGTTAATAGGCTCGAAGCTGTCCCTGTTTGGCAGTTTACCTTGCTGTGTACATACGTACGTACACACATCCAAACCTAATTGGATTTCTTTTAAAACAAAGCATAATAAAATTTGACCCATCTGAGAAGGGCTCCTATAGCCTTGTATCTTGGAAAATGTGTATGTTTAAGCCTGATAATGTCCTTGAGAAAGGTGATATTCTGGAAAGACCACAGACATTGAAGTCATTTGGGCTCAAATTTTGGCCGCACCACTTCTGATTGTGTAACCCTGAGCAAGGTAGATCTCTGAGCATCAGGATTCCCTCTTATGTTTTTTATTTCAACTCTCCATCTAGTTAAAATTTTGCCACCCCAAGAATACCTACTTTTTCCTTAGGGCTAGTTATGTGCCAGGTACTGTGTTAGGAGTCTTACATGCATTATTGCCCATTCCTGCCAGAAAGATATCTTTACTTTCATTTTCCAGATGAGATAAGATGGCAGGGTAAAATAATCCTGGTCTGGGAGGAAGAGCATGGGCTGATTTCTGATTTTGGTTCTGCCATTTTTTTTTTTTCCCCTGAGACGGTGTCTTGCTCTGTTGCCCAGGCTGGAGTGCAGTGGCCAGATCTCAGCTCACTGCAAGCTCCGCCTCCCGGGTTTATGCCATTCTCCTGCCTCAGCCTCCAATGTAGCTGGGACTACAGGCGCCCGCCACCATGCCCAGCTAATTTTTTTTGTATTTTTAGTAGAGACGGGGGTTTCACTGTGTTAGCAAGGATGGTCTCAATCTCCTGACCTCGTGATCTGCCCGTCTCGGCCTCCCAAAGTGCTGGGATTACAGGCATCAGCCACCGCGCCCGGCGGGTTCTGCCATTTTAACGGCAAGCCGTTTAACAGCTCTAAGTCTGTGATGTGTAGTTTAAGGGTTTTAAATGAGACAACACAATTAAAGCATCAATCAAGGTGCCTGACTCATAGAAGGTGTGAGTTTTCCTTTATGAAAATTATAAAGTTAGAGATTTATGATTGGAATACAGTATTGTGATGGCAGCGGTGGCCTGTCTGGAGCCTCTGCTGGGAAGATGCCAGCTGCAGTGGGGGAGGCACAGTCAGGGCTGTGTGCTCCATGGAGCTGGCAGGAGCAGGGAATAAGTGGGAGCCCTGCCCTCCCAGGCACAGCTGCAGCTGCCCAGCCACAGCTGCAGACCTGGGCATCCCTGCGCTCACAGGGTCCTGGGAAGCCTAGGACCCAGGTCCAAGGAAGCCCATGAGCTTGAAAGTGCCTGTTCCTGCTGCCTGACCTCTCTGTGCTCCTGGTGTCCACTCCAATTTCAGAGCAAAGTTGAGGCTGAGCCTGGGTTCTATTGAGACCTGATCGAGTGTGCGCACGCTTGGGGCGGTGCTGGGCTACAGACTTGATGGGTGCCGGGTCCAACCTGCAGACTGCGACCCCAGTGATGGATGAAAAAATGCACTCTGACACAGATACCCAGTGAAAGAGCGGGCTAGGGGACTGGGCTGCCTGCAGAAAGAGTTGTAGCAGCCTCGGCCCTGAAAAGCTGGTGCTGCAGGCAACTATTTAGTACAGATTTAATGACAAAGGCCTCAGTCAACACACTTGTGGGTAATTAACATGGTTGTCCCCCCCCCCAACCCCCGCCCCCAACCCCACCCCATCTCCGGAGAGAGCAGTCCTGCATTTCGATTATTAAAGGCCAGGTTCTGAGGCCTAAGTAAACTAACTTATCTAGATCAGTTTCTTTACATCCCCTTGTTATCTAACCTAAGCCTTTAGGCACCGGATAAGAGAATCTGAATGCCTTCAGCCAAATCCTTTTCTGAAGCTTTTGTAAAACTTCCTGGCCTTCTAAGAAGGTTTGCATCTTTCTACAATTTTTCCCACCACACTTACCGAATCCCTACAGATGGGATGAACTGCCTGTGTATGGGAGGTACCACTCTGGGTCTTTTCTGCACTGAGGCTGCACAGATGCCAGGACGACCTGCCAGCGGAAAGGAGCAACCCACTTGGGGTCTCTTGAGAGCTGTACTGTCACTCAATAAAGCTCCTCTTCACCTTGCTCACCCTCCAGTTGTCCGTATACCTCATTCTTCCTGAATGCGGGACAAAAACCTGGGACCCGCCAAATGGTGGGGCTGAAAGAGCTGTAACACGAACAGGGCTGAAATATGTCCCCTTGCTTGCCATGTTGCAGGCAACAAGAAGGAGAGAAGCGCTGTGGCCCTTCTGGGAGCTCAGACCTAGGGGCTTCCTGAGCCAGGGCTGTGACACCCTCTTTAGGGCCCTGCAGTTTCTGGCATCTCCAAGCTTCCAGGTGCCACTACATTCCCCTCGTCCATATGCAGGTGCCCACTGCAGAAGCTGCTTGCAGTGCATCTCATCCAACTGCAGGCTTGCATGGAGCCAGCACCTGTGCTGGCGCCTGGAGCTGCCTGCTGTGCCTGGCTGTGTGCAGTGGCCGCCAGTGTGCCTGGCTGTATGCAGTAGCTGGACCCTGCACTCACACACTCCTTGCCTCTCTGCTTGTCTTGCCCTTGGCAGACCTGGGATCTGGGCTGGTAGCACAAGCCTGCCAGGCTGAGTGGGTGGAATGAGCCCAGCGGACCTGAGTAAAACTCGGGTAAAAGGCACCAGTGACCACAGAGGCTTCCAGCTAGAAGCCCAAGGATCTCGTGGGAGTAGCATTTATCAAGGACTATCCAATAATATTTATTCCCTTTGTCTTTGAAATAGTTTACTGCTGGAATTTATTCCAATGGAATAAGAGGAGAAAAAGCTATATGAACAATTTTGAAAAGATTTACTCTTCATTTAACAACGATTTATTAAGGTCATCCTGAATCATGCCCGGTTAGGTCTGGGAATATAGACTGTCAGAGGGCACCTGATAATCCATGTTGTATGAGAGCTAAGAATTGAAAATGAAATGCACATCCAGTATTAGGGGATGATAAGGTAAACAATGAAGTGCCAAGTTAATTGAGTATTATGGAGACCTTTAAAGTGGTAATTTTGGCCAGGTGTGGTACATGCCTATAATCTCAGAACTTTGGGAGGCTGGGATGGGAGGATCACTTGACCTCAGGAGTTTGAGACCAACCTGGGAAACATAGGGAAACCCTTTATCTCCAAAAAAAAAAAAAATTAGTCGGACGTGGTGGCACGCACCTGAGGTCTCAGCTACTCAGGAAGCTGAGATGGGAGGATCGCTTGAGCCTGGGAGGTCGAGACTGCGGGGAGCCATGATCACGTCACTACAGCTTGGGTGACACAGCAAGACCATGTCTCAAAAAAAAACTGAAGACCATATAGAAACAGAGAGGAATATTTGATTGAGTTAAAGAAGTAATAAAATTGTCTCTAGATGCTAAGGAGGGGTCAAGACCTGTGTTTAAAAATCAGTATTTGGATAAAACCAAAGATGATATGCAGAAATGAAAATAGCTTTATTAGTATAATAGGATTTGGGATTTTAAAAAAATTTTGGCCGGGCGCGGTGGCTCAAGCCTGTAATCCCAGCACTTTGGGAGGCCAAGACGGGCGGATCACGAGGTCAGGAGATCGAGACTATCCTGGCTAACACGGTGAAACCCCGTCTCTACTAAAAAATACAAAAAAACTAGCCGGGCGAGGTTGCGGGCGCCTGTAGTCCCAGCTACTCAGGAGGCTGAGGCAGGAGAATGGCGTAAACCCGGGAGGTGGAGCTTGCAGTGAGCTGAGATCTGGCCACTGCACTCCAGCCTGGGCGACAGAGCAAGACTCCGTCTCAAAAAAAAAAAAAAAAAAAAAAAATTTTATCTGCAATTACATGATTTTTCCTATAATAAAAGAAGGAGCAGTGTACTGTGGCTGTAGAGCTGTAATGGATGCTGGAAGGAGTAGAAGGTAATGTTCTGTTCTACCTCCAAGAATTACTCATCCATCTGTCACCTTGTTTCTTCCCCATAGGGCCATGTGAAACTTTCTGACTTTGGTCTTTGCACAGGACTGAAAAAAGCACATAGGACAGAATTTTATAGGAATCTGAACCACAGCCTCCCCAGTGATTTCAGTAAGTAGTAACAATTACGTTAGCCTTTTCATTCTAACTGGGGCCTAGAAGAGCTGTTTCCCTTGTAACCAAATTATGCAGGACAGATAGGAGATTCTCACAGCATGAGTGTGTAGAGAATAAAAAATACCTTCCCAGGTTTGCCTGTGATTTGTGTTGTCTGGTGAGGCAAGATGAATGAATGGTACCAAATGTGTGAAGACAGAGGTTGAAAGGGGTCTTCTTTAGAGGTCTACTGGGAAGGTCACTGGGGATGAGTATGGGACAGGCAACCAGAAGTAGTAGAGGAAAAACTCCTGGGAACAGCTCTGGGCTAGGTTTTATCCTGGGTGCTTCTTTCCTTCATGACAGAAAGAAGTTTATCCTTATGACAGTCACTTCCACTTGAACACTATGATATCATTGACAACTGTGTGGTAAAATTACATTTCATCCTAGAAAAGCTTATGTCAATCATGTATTATAAATTCAGATGTCCCTGATCATATAAGTTACTACTACTTGGAAAATTGATGGTAATTTTGAGAAATTGTGACTGTTGTAGGTCCACGTTAGGACCTCGGTTCTAGTTGAGACTGAATTCCTGTAATTCTGATTAAGTCCTGTATCCTCTGTGGCCACTTGATCCACATGGGAGTACCTTTTACAACCCTGTGTGAGTCTTTTAAGTTAATGCTTTACAGCCTCTGATTTGGGCTTACTGTAAACTTACTAGGATACGTGTCATCTGGAGCTTTTGATGTATGAGTAGAAAGAAAGCAAGACTTTAGGGTTTCATATGACTTGAAAGAGCCTACTAAAAAAAGTAGTAAACAGTTTGGTCTGAACTTTGACCGCAGCTTGTATTCTCTACTTTCAGCTTTCCAGAACATGAATTCCAAAAGGAAAGCAGAAACCTGGAAAAGAAATAGACGTCAGCTAGTAAGTAATATCTGTGGCTTCTGAAATGCTACAAACGAAGTATGTATAAGTTCTAAAGATTTGCACATAAAATTGCATTTGACAGGTATTTGCAATGTGTCCCTTGCTTTTAAGATTACCTAAAGAGAGTGCTGTTGTTAGGTTGATAGGACCCAAAGGAATCTTTTGAAGGAGGACAGGTAATATTAGGTTGTTTTCATTGTGACATTTTCCGTGGGTGACCTCATTCTGACCTTTTAGCTTGGTAACAATACCTTTCCTTCCTGCCCCACCTTTTCTTTATTTTTGTAGTGGTAAGGGGGTTGTATTTAAGTTGGAGACCTCTCAAAACTAAGTACAAATACCTACCTAGAGTTTTCAGGCATCAGTTCTCAAACTTCTTAAAAATTTTGATCCACTTGGGCAAGGGCAAATCAAGACTCCTCAATTCATTTGCCTCACACTTTCTGACTTTGTGATGTGAAAAAGAACCTACTTATAAAGATTGGAGAGAAATATAAGGGGAATGCTTATTTATATGCATTTGACTTTGTGCCCATGTAAAATTATGTCCTACAGGCTGAAAATAAGAAACATTGTGTTTACCTTGATAGTATGTTGGAAGTACAAATTTACCAGTGAAATATTGCTGTCTAGGCAGAATTTATTTTTTAGCAATAGCTGATTAATTGGTTCTTGTTTGAAGTACAGTGTACATGTTCTGGTGTCCAGTTACTGGAGTTATTGGCCAGATAATAGAAATGTGTATCACTATATTCTTAAGCTTTGCAAGAAACCCATAGCAAATGAAACTGATGATGGGTAAAGCCAAACTAACATTTGGTCATTGGAAAGCAGAATAGCAGCAATGGAAAACTGACTAACTTGGAATGATGGTCATGCAAATGTGTTGTCTAGAAATGGCAGCACTTCTGTTTGTCCACATATATGGTAGTAACTTGGCAAGTTTACCAAATACTGTGTTTCAGTTAGAATTCCTAGTGCAATACTGATTTATAGTTCTCTAGAGTACCTTTAATAACACTCTTAGTAAGTCACTAATAGGTGGATGTCAGTTACATGTGAAAATGGAAACCTATGGGATGGTTTAAGAAAGAGTCAAAGGAAAGTTGTGCATTCGTTTTGATTTATTTGAAGCCCACCCATCAGTGGGGCCTCAGACAACATTTACTTGGGAAATCTTCAGTTTAGGACAGTTAGTTACAAAACAGTCTCCCTTCCTTGGGAACTCTGCTACTCTTTAAACTTCTGAATTCTGTATGTGGTTGAAAAATATTTTATGTATCTTGTTGAGGATTAGGGAATGTCAGGAACAAATTTGGTCAGGTGCTTCTATTATGTCTCTCCACAGAGAAGTAGTTTTTAACCTTGGCTGCACAACAGAATCACTTGGGGAACTTCAGAACATGTTGATGTCCAGGTTCCACCCACAGAGATTATGATTCAGTTGGTCTGGGATATACTCTGGGTATCGTATCTGATTTTTAAAAGACTGATTCTACTGTGCAGTGAATGTTGAGAACTTCCACAAAGAGGTTATGTCTTAAATAATAGCTCCTGCATTGTTGGGCAACTAATACTTACCTATTTTTTGGAAACAGAAGGTGAGGAATCTGTGATTTCTGTTCTTTTCTTTTCTTTCTTTCTTTCTTTTTTTTTTTTTTTTCAAGCAGGCCAGCATTTAACCTTTGGCTCCTGTACTAACAAGTATTTTGGGGATAAGGCTTAAGTGTCTTGAATTGTCCCTTATATTCCAAGACAAGCTTTGTGCTCTTGATGTGTACCCAAGGGTCTTGTCATGATTAGAGGAACCATTTCTGTAGTTCTATAAGGAAAGCAGTTTCACAATTTTCGTGTTTGCAGTTAAATGTCATTTAATAGTTAAAAACATTTTTGAAAATCTCAATAAACTTAAGGCCCTGATGCTGTGATTAAGGTTCTTGCCTTTTTATACTACATGCAGTAGAAATGGGAAAGTGTAAATTAAGGTCATCCTCATATTATCTCTTTTCATAACTTGAAGAAAATGAAGCCACCTCTCAGTCTTCTAAATGTTAATTAACTGTGTTACTTTGACCTTTTCTAAGTGATCCCGTTCAGGTAGTACCAAGCTGAAGATAGATATTCGTTAATACTTAATATAAATTTACTGCTCTAGGTTAAGCCTAACATATGTAATTCCTACCCAGCCTATTACTTTTTAGTCCATTGGGAATCACTAAAAAAAGTAGAGGCTTTAGCTTCATTCCTTGGCTGCTTAAATAATATTGTATGTTTTAAATTGTTATGTGGTCCTATATAACATTAGGCCCTAGTACCTGATTAATATGAGTCAGCTTTAAGTTAATCGCAGATATGAAAGATAATAGACATCCGATCTTGGTCAGTTTATTTTTTAGGGTAGGATTTACAGAAGTGATTAGGAAATTAAATTGCTTTATTTCTCTTAAAACCCTGACACAAAATCATAAGGTTAGAACACATTTGGTTGAAATGACTGTTAACAACCGACGGAGCTATTCCAGATTGCAGCTTTCATTGACACTTGAAATACCCAGACAAGAAAAGAAAAACTGGAGTACAGATTTATGAGGTTGGAGTTGGAAGACACCCTGGTGTGGAAAACTACAAAGGTTTGGGAAGGGGGCAGTCCTTAGATTGGAAAGGACACACCTGGTACAGACAGTGTGGTAAAAAGTGTGGTAAAATACGAGTGAGCTCCTACGGCAGACTCTAGTTTCTGGAATAAGAGCAATACTTTTACCTTGACAGGTGTGAGCCTGCTGTTTGCTATATTTTATAACTCTTAAGAGTTTTTCTTTTTAATGCATTGGTAGCTTGAAGGAGTTCTTTTCCTCTGGCAGTAGACCTCTGGTTTTATCATGGAAATCTTTGAACAAGTAAGATCTGCTTAGATTTACATTCATCTTTGGTAGAGTAAACCTCGTCTCTAAATTAAAGGGTATTTGTATTCTTACCTTTATGATTAGAATGAAAATTCTTGGAGAGGGCCTAATCCACGTTTCAGTCTTTAAAGCTTAAAGACAAAAGACAACACTGGTATTTGTGTTATTTAATATCTGCATTTAAATATATATTATACATATATATACACACACATGCATACACTTAGCTATATGGAAAAATGGATCCCTACCGTACAGTATATGCAAGTCAACTCTAGATGAGAAATTAAACTTTAAAAATTTTTAAAGAAAATACAGGGCAGTATCTTTATGACCTCAGAGTAAAGAAGGATTTCTTAAATAAGGTGCAAGAAGTACAGCTCATAGAGGAAAAAGTTGGTTTATTTTATTACTTTAAGGAAAAAAAACCTTCTGTATATCAAAAGACACAAAGAAATGAAAAGACAAGCCACACGGTACAGCTACTTTGGAATTACCTTTCAGAGTTCGTGTGTACACCCTACAGCGCTGCAATTCTACCCCTAGTCATAAGCCCTGGAGAAATTGCACATGTGAACCGGGAGACATGCAGAAGAATGTTTATTGCATTTTCATAATAGCAAAAGACTGGGAATAACCCAGTGTCCATCCACAGGAAAATAGTTACATTCTGGAATAGAATATTTTGCAGCAGTAAAAATAATTGAACTACAGCTACGTGTGACAGCGTGAATCAATTTTAGAAACATAAAGTTGAGAGGAAGAATCTAATAACAGAAGACTGTATATAGAATGGTACCATTTTAATAAAGCTCAAAAATAAAATCTCATTTAGAGAGATACCTGGCAAAATTCTTTTTAAAAGCTAAGGAGTGACAAAACATGAAATTCGGCATAGTGGTTAAGAGAAGCAGGAGAGACGGGGAGGAGTACATGTTTAGCTTAATATTGTTATTACTTGGTTCTTCAGTTGAACTCATGGGTATTCATTTTCATGATTATGCATTATAATTTGATAATGTATGTAATTAACACATGTATATATGTGACATATTTTGGTAACAAATACTACTTCATTAAAAAAAAATCACAATAAAATAACAAGCCTCATTCTGGGAGAAGATATTTGCAGTATACAAATATCTTAAACAGATTAATGTCCTGAATTCATAAAGAATTCCTATGAATCAATAAGAAAAAGACAACACAACTTAAGCAAATACTAATGGACAAAGGATCTGAACAGGAATTCATAGTAAAAACCTGGATGGCTAATTAAAATACGAGTGTGCTCAGCCCTACTTGAGATAAAGTAAATGCAAATTAAAACAAGATCCAGCCATGCTGGCACATCCCTAGAGTCCCAGCTACTCAGAAGGCTGAGGCAGGAGAATCCCTTGAGGCCAGGATTTCAAGGCTACAGTGAGCTGTGATCATACCACTGCACTCCAGCCTGGGTGACAGAGCAAGATCCCATCGCTTAAAAGGAAAAAAAGGTCCCATTTCATATTCATCAGATTGGTAAAAATAAAAATTAAAGATCTGACAAAGCCAAGTCTTGGTGAGATGTGGAGCACCAGAAGCTAATCCCCACCAGGATTGGTTTAAATAGGGACTAACTACTTTGGAGGACTTGGAAGATACTTCAAGTTTAGATGCTTATACCCAAGGCTCAGCAATATTCTAGTTTATACTCTAGAGAAATGCTTGCACAGTGCCCAAGAAGGTATTACAAGAATGTTTATTCAGGTGTTACTTGTCATAGTGAAATACTGGAAGCAATGTAACTGTCCATTACAGAAGAACGGATAAAAACTATTGTGATTAATTTATATAACAGTATAGCATACAGCAGAGAAGTGAGTGAACTAGAGTGAATTACGTGAATAAATCTCAAAACTAATGTTAAGACAAACAGGGCCGGGTGCGGCAGCTCATGCCTGTAATCCCAGCACTTTGGGAGGCGGAGGCGGGTGGATCACTTGAGGTCAGGAGTTCGTGACCAGCCTGGCCAAAGTGGTGAAACCCTGTCTCTACTAAAAATACAAAAAATTAGCCAGGTGTGGTTCATCTCAAAAAAAAAAAAAGACATGATCTGAGACAAATATGGCAAATTATTAATCTCTTTAATACGAGTAATGGGTCTGTATTGTCTGTTCCTTTTTTGTATATGTTTGTAATATTTCATAATACATGTTTTAAAAAACAATACAACTGTAATTTAAAAATTTATATAATATATAATATTTAAAGCACCTAGATCAGCGCCTTACACATGGTAAGCCCTCAGATGTTAAGTACATTAGGAGGCTTTGATTGTACTTTCTCCTCTTATTTTGCAGTCCTGGTATGTTAGAGTAGAATACTGGGATGCAGAAAATGTTTCTCTTGGTCGAGTATGGTGGCTCACACCTATAATCCCAGCACTTTGGGAGGCTGAGGTGGGAAGATCACTTGAGCCTAGGAGTCTGGGCAAGATGGCAAAACCCCATCTCTGCAAAAAAATTTAAAAATTAGCCAGGTGTGGTGGCATGCACCTATGGTCGTAGCTGCTCTGGTGGCTGACATGGGAAGATCTCTTGAGCCTAGGAGTTTGAGGTGAACTATCATTGTGCCACTGCACTCCAGCCTGGGCTACAAAGGGAGACCCCCGTCTCTTAGAAAAAGAGAACAGTTATCCAAGAACTATGTACAAAAACAATTACGTTTGGTAAATAGGTATTTATAAATGTTAACTTATAGGATATAACTTTAGCTTTTGATCATAAAGCTTCCCTTTATGATTGTGTCAAATCAAAGAATGTGTATCATAGAAAGAGGGATGGTTTGGAGTAAGATATTATAATTTCTATCTTTTTTTTTTTTTTTTTGAGACAGAGTCTCACTCTGTCACCAGGCTGGAGTGCAGTGGCATGATCTCGGCTCACTGCAACTTCTGCCTCCTGGGTTCAAGCGATTCTCCTGCCTCAGCCTTTTGAGAAGCTGGTACTACAGGTGCACCCCACCATGCCCAGCTAATTTTTGTATTTTTAGTAGAGACTGGGTTTCACCATGTTGGCCAGGATGGTCTCGATCTCTTGACCTCATGATCCACCCACCTTTCAGCCTCTCAAAATGCTGGGATTACAGGCGTGAGCCACTGCTCGCAGCCAGATACTTAATCTCTAATCTGGGCTGTACCACCTGACTAGTTCTAGGGTCTTGGGCAAAGCCATTTTGAGCATCAAATTGTATCTGCAAAGTTAGGCTAATAAGGTCCTCCTTGGAAAAGTTTTGTCGGGATTAAATGAACTCATGTATATGAAATTTTATATATATGTATATATAACTCATGTTATATATAAAGTACAGAGCCTGGTACTTAATGGGTGCTCAGTGAATTGTAATACTAGTTATTATGACAGAGATGCCTTCGCCGTAGTGACTGATAGTTAAGAAGGGTCTCCCACCTCATTAACAAAGCTTTCTTGTTCATTTTGGAAAGTGCTTTGGCAAATCAAGCTTGCCGTTAAGCTACTGGGCAGTCCCGCGTATTCAGCTTGGGGGTAGCTTCTGGTGGTATTCATAGCCTTTGGTTTCTAGAACAGAACTCTGGGCACCTCCTGCCTGGCTGGGCCTCCCTGATGTGTGGTCCATGTTTCAGGCCTTCTCCACAGTAGGCACTCCTGACTACATTGCTCCTGAGGTGTTCATGCAGACCGGGTACAACAAGCTCTGTGATTGGTGGTCGCTTGGGGTGATCATGTATGAGATGCTCATCGGTAAGTTGCATGGTTTCAGAGGACTTTTTCTGTGCATCCGTGACAGACTTCTACATTGATATCAGCCTCTGTTTCAACTGGCAGTGATCTAAGTGATTTCCCCACTTGTCTTTCAAAGTGAATTGTTTTAGACAGATGACAACTCTTTCAGTAAGATGTATCCCACTCCATTCTTAGGCTTACTGGCATCCTGCAATTGCTTTGTTGATCATTTTTTATGTTTTCTTTCTCTTATACCTTCATCTTCTCCATCTAGAAGCTCTTTCAGTCACTAGCACTTATTAACATCTGTTGTATGCAGAGCATTTTAACTGGGCATTGCCTCACTTTTCTAATATGCTGCCCCCTTCCTCTGTCAAAGCCTTCAAATCATGGGACCCTGTGGCCTCTCTCCCTCTTATTGTATTGGTGTATCTCTGTGTTTATGGGACGCATCTGTGGGGTGGTCATGTGCCAGCGAGCAAGTATACCCTTGTTGGTTCCGAGTGAGTCTATCTGGCTGCTTTGGCTTCAGGAACATGGGAACAATGCCTTTGGAGGTGGGCGTATACCATCTGGAGGGAAGATGGGGTGATACGGTGTGTGCGTGTTTGTCTTCTTGCCTGTAGTTCTCAAAAAGACGCATGGTGGTCCTTTTTAAATCTATGCTTTTTTCTTATTCACGTTATTTGGTACTTTACCCATATAAGGGTATTTATGGAATGATACTGTTTCATCCTTTCATTTCTTCTTTGGGCATGGTGATTCCCACACCTGCAATTCTATTTATGTCCTCCTTTCTTTTCCCAGCTCTACCTATTAGCTGACTTCCTAGTGGTACCAGAAGCATGATTTCACTTTGGGTCTGGGAGTTTGGGGGAAAATGAAAAATAGGTTTAGATATTTTCTGGGATAAGTGGAAATCCTGTCTATGTCATGGAGGGATGGCCATACAGAGTAATCCAGTAGTCATTAAAGACATACAGAATCGGGCCGGGCACAGTGGCTTATGCCTGTAATCCCAGCACTTTGGGAGGTTGAGGCGGTAGGATCGCTTAAACCCAGGAGTTCAAAACAAGCCTGGTCAATATAGCGAGACTCTGTCTTTACAAAAGAAAAATAAAAAATCAGCTGGGTGTGGTGGTGCTCTTCTGTAGTCCCACCTACTGGGGAGGCTGAGGCAGGAATTCAAGGCTGCAGTGAACCATGATTGCACCACTACACTCAGCCTAGGTAACAGAGTGAGACCCTGTCTCAAAAAAAAAAAAAAAAAGACATATAGAATTGTATTAAGGAGAGTAATCTTGGTCAGATTCAAAGTTCTGGAGTGTAAAAGCTCCGAAGTTCCTTTTTATTACAGGCTACCCACCTTTCTGTTCGGAGACCCCTCAAGAGACATACAAGAAGGTGATGAACTGGAAAGAAACTTTGACTTTTCCTCCGGAAGTTCCCATCTCTGAGAAGGCCAAGGATCTAATTTTGAGGTATTAGAGAACATCCCTCCACCTTCTTTCTCAGCTTTTTCATATGAATAATTCCATTTTTTTTAAACTGTTATTATCTCCTGAATCTGCTTTCTGTTTCCTCCTGTTCCTCTCTTTAAACAAATAAAAAGGCTGTGTGTGGTGGCTCACACCTATAATCCCAGCATTTTGGGAGGCTGAGGCAGGGGGATCACTTGAGCCCAGGAATTTGAGACTAGCCTGGACAACACAGCAAAACTCCACCTCTAAAAAAAAAAAAAATTGGCTGGGCATGGTGGAACCTGTGGTCCCAGCTACTTGGTAGGCTGAGATGGGAGGATCACTTGAGCCCAGGAAGTTGAAGCTGCAGTGAGCCTTGATTGTGCTACTGCACTCCAGCCTGGGTGACAGAGTGAGACCTTGTCTCAAAAAAAAAAAAGTTTTTCTGAAGAGACTGCTTGAGGTGTGCTGAAAGGCCTCTGTCTTTTCCAGATTCTGCTGTGAATGGGAACATAGAATTGGAGCTCCTGGAGTTGAGGAAATAAAAAGTAACTCTTTTTTTGAAGGCGTTGACTGGGAACATATCAGGTATATCCATATAAACACTTTCAGAATTATTTCAGAAAGTCTCTAGTTTACTTAATAATAATTTGGAAGGACCATCATTGGCAAGCCAAGTAAGGGAAGAGAGCTTCTTAGAGATTTAGGATCTTTTCCTGATTTTCATTCATGGTGATTGGGCGTTGAGTTTTTTGTCAGCCATGTGTCATGGAATATATTGAATCTAGCAGTTATTTACAAAGTGAAGTGAACTTTTGTTTTTTGTGGTGGAGGGAGCATCTAGGAAGTGTATTACCCTTTACCTAGAACTCAGCAGCCTCTTAGGGCCCGCCAGCGGGCCTGTTCCTGCCCACAGAGTGGAAGGTATCACTGAAACATAGAGAAGGGAGAAAGGAGTGGAGGAAAGATTGGAGGGGTGAAAGTGGAGAGGGAAAGGGGAGAGTAAAAATTTTTATGGTGGGGGTCGTAGACTATGGCCAATAGCCATGAGAGCCTAGACCACCTGCTGTAGTCCAGACCTTCTCATTCAGCAGTCATTGGTTATTAAATAGAAGGTGAAGAAGTTTTCATTTATTTATAATTGTGTTCTGATGTGCTGCTTGTAATTTTTTACCTTTGCCACTTTTTTAGCTATCCTACTCGTTGGCACCTCCAGTAGAAGAAGGGCAGAGCCCTACACAAGGGGACATTTAGAGGCTCAGTTTCCCTTTTTAGTAGACAGGACAGGCCATTGGGGGAGTTGCACTAACTTCAGGTTTTAGTTATTCTTGTCTTTTTTCTAGCTATGAATGATTGAGTTTTTTTTTTTTTAATCATAATTTACTTTGTTTGGGTACAGTCAGTTGGCTTGGTTGGTCAGTTTTTGTAAGTTTTTCAGAGAAAATAAATGCTGCCTGCCAGTGAAGAGTCTTCTCATGTCAGACCAGGGGTCTTTTTTGGAGAAAGACTTGAGTGGTATGATCCATATGATTACTAACTTAGTAATTTTTGGCATGTGTATTCTTGGCAGAGAGAGACCTGCTGCAATATCTATTGAAATCAAAAGCATTGATGATACTTCAAACTTCGATGAGTTTCCAGAATCTGATATTCTTAAGCCAACAGGTAACACCACCAGCATTGTCTCCTGCTGCCTTATAAGCACATTATTTACCCCCAATTTTGGGATGATGTTTACAAGTCAGGGTAGTGAACATGGAGAGGAACTTCAGTTCTTCACGTTCTTTGTAAGTACTTTTCCAGTTCTAATGCTAGGTAGTGGTGAAACCTTGGTGAATGGAAAATGAATATCAGCTCCCATGTTTAGGCTGCTCAACTGGGTAAGTTACAAAAATCTGTTCCTTTGTTATTTACTGAGTGTTAGGTAATCTGAAATGACAGGAATGGGAAAATAAAACATTAAAAAATTTGTGAAGAAATACGAGATTTAAAGAACATGAGCAAGAAAATGTAGAAAATTCATAGCATGAGGCCAGGCACGGTGGCTCACGCCTGAAATCCCAGCACTTTGGGAGGCCGAGGTGGGCAGATCATGAGGTCAAGAGATTGAGACCATCCTGGCCAATGTGCTGAAACCTCATCTCTACTAAAAATACAAAAATTAGCTGGGTGTGGTGGTGCATGCCTGTAGTACCAGCTTCTCGAAAGGCTGAGGCAGGAGAATTGCTTGAACCCAGGAGGCAGAAGTTACAGTGAGCGAGATCGTGCCACTGCACTCCAGCCTGGCAACAGAGCGAGACTCTGTCTCAAAAACAAAAACAAACAAACAAACAAAAAAGAATATTCATAGAGTGAAAAATAAGCTTTGCCAAATAGAAACTGGTATGTTCTTCAGAGTGCCGTCTTCAGCACCGTGAGTAGTCCTTTGGAGGTAAAGCAGTGAATCAACTCTCACATCTGTTTCTTTCCCAGTGGCCACAAGTAATCACCCTGAGACTGACTACAAGAACAAAGACTGGGTCTTCATCAATTACACGTACAAGCGCTTTGAGGGCCTGACTGCAAGGGGGGCAATACCTTCCTACATGAAAGCAGCAAAATAATTCTCTTGCCATGGAATCCTACATGGAACAGAGTTCTTTGTGCAACATCATGCTTTTCCTCCCACACTCTTGAAGAGCTTCCAAGAAGTTGATGGAACCCACCAGTATGTCATAGTAAAGTCTCCTGAAATGTGATAGTAAGAGGATTTCTTCCATAATGCATCTGAAAAACTGTAAACAAAGACAACCATTTCTACTGCATCGGCCATAAACAGCTATCCTGCTTCTTCCGAAGCATCATGAGCCAATTTGGTAGGTGTTTTAAAAACAACTTGAGTTTTCCTAAGTTCATCAGAATGAAGGGGAAAAACAGCCATCATCCAACATTATTGAGATTGTCTTGTATAGTCATCGAATATCAGCCAATTCCTGTGATTTTGTGACACGCTATCTGCCAAGCCCACCAAGTATTTCCTTTATAGCTGAAAGTTCCATAGTACTAAGGAAATAAAGCAATAAAGACAGTCTCAGCAGCCAGGATTCTGGCTGAAGGAAATGATCCACCACCCTGAGGGTGGTGATGGTAGTTTCTACCCATACCTCAGCCTCAGGCAAGTGGCTTATAGCCTCCATTCATGGTGCACTTTATTATATGGTACTAAGATAAAGACTGTCAATCCATTGATTTATCTCCTCCCTGTCCCCATCTAAAATATCCATGCTGCTTTTCTGAGTGTTGATGGGGGTTACCAGCTTGATCCATTGTTGCTCTTAGAAGGCCCAGAAAGTCTTTGGGCATTGCCAAGGAATCCCGGATTATGTGGAAAACCCTCACTTTCTCTTCACGGCTGTACCAGAAAATCCCTAAGACAGATGTTGCTGTGGACCAGCAATACCTGCAAGTGCTGCCAACGGGAACTCAGTTTATTCCTGGGAACTTAACAAGGAGAGCCCAGGCCTAGGCAGGAGGCCTGGAACCCTCTTGGCTAAGGTGCTTTTCCTGTTCCTGCAAGGTCTCCAGAACCTCTTTGGAAATGGTGAAGGAACCAGCCCAATAGAAGTAGAGCCTGCTGACAAGTCTTTGTAAAGTTCACTCCTCAGTCCTTGGCACAACCATGTTTTGTCTTCTCTCTTGGTATTTCTTCTCTCTCAACTTTAAGTAGCCATTTTGCCTTGGAATCATGATTACAATTTTTTCCTTTGCAGATGCCTTCCTGGGGGATACTCTTCCCCACCCTAAAGGGTCGCCTGCAACTTAGGCGGATTGGGTCTCTCTGCTGTGTCGTTCTCTCATGAGAGACCCTCTGAATTGTATAGCACAAAGTGCCTTCTGTTTCGCAGCTGCCACCACCTTTAGAGGAATTTTGTCAGAAAAATGTGGAGGCTCCATATTAATGCATTATTTTTTAAAACGTTTTGATAACTCTTAAAGCATCATTTGCACCTGTGTGGGAACTTTGCCTGCTGCAGAGCATCGTGGCCGAGCTGCAGCTGGGAGCCTGCTTTCTGCCAGTAATGAGGTTGTGAAGATCAGTTTTGAAAGGAAAGTATGTCCTAGCTTAGCCATTCAGAAGAGAAAAATGGAATATCAGAGTTACGGTTGTCAGTGAAACTGCTTTGGGTTTTAACCTCTTAGAGGAAGAAAAAAGGTTAGGGAAGTCTCAACTCTGGATGAAGGTGATTTGTTTGCCTCTCAGTCTTTCATTCATAGCCTGCTAGTGGAAAGGAAGTAAATGAGATTCTTTTGTGTAACTTTGTAGTCTCTTTGTATTACCAAATAATTGGGGTGTTGACTCCTGTGTGTTTTGCAAGAATGTTTGGTAAGCCTGGGTAAAGAGAAGTAACTGCAGTGTTGGGAGAGTCTTTGTGTGGGGGAGTGGCAGGGGATGATTTGTTTTAGGGGAAAATGCCCACATTTTAACTTTTAAACTTATGAATAAACTGTGTGAAAACAGTAGTGGAAATATGTGATGTGATTTATTAAACTGATAAGAACAGATACTGCATTTGATCTTAGCAAAAAGGCCAAGAAGGGATTGTGATGTGATTTAAAGCAAATAGTGGCATATAACTTAGAGGCAGAGTGCTGGTGGCTGCTTTTAACTAACCCCTTTGTCCACAAACCATTAGAACGCCTAATTTCAAGTGTTAATTTCAAAACTGTATCACCATCTTCATGCAAAGTGCTTTTCCATCTCAGGGAAGCTGGGACTGACTTCTGTTCTTAGGGAGCTAGTCTCCTGAATCACTGTGCATATGAAGAGACTTCTCTTGCCCCGACTGCATGTGCTGCTTCCACCCATCTCAGTGTTGCAGGGCAGTGGGCCCTCCCCTCACAGTAAGGCCAAGGGCACATCCTGACAAAAGTGCTGTCATCTGGTGGACCTTTTGTACAGCCCTTTACAGCCTAGCCCCATTTTTTCCCAGCCTGGAGTCAACCAGGAATCTCATGAGCTCATAAGATGGAAATGTTGGCCAGGTGCAGTGGCTCATATCTGTAATCCTAGGACTTTGGGAGGCCGAGGCAGGGGGATCACAAGGTCAGAAAACCGAGACCATCCTGGCTAACACAGTGAAATCCCGGCTCTACTAAAAATACAAAAATTAGCTGGGCATGGTGGCACGAGCCTGTAGTCTCAGCTACTCAGGAGGCTGAGGCAGGAGAATCGCTTGAACCCAGGAGGCAGAGGTTGCAGTGAGCTGAGATCGTGTCATTGCACTCCAGCCTGGGCGACAGAGCGGGACTCCGTCTCAAAAAGAAAAAAAAAGGAATTGTTCAGCACTGTGTCCATCAGAGCAGGGTTCTGTCTCTGAGATGTTGTGTACTGAAGGAGTCCCATATGCCCCACTTATTAGCCCCTTTCTGGGTAGGGAAAAGCACCTCAAGGAGTCAAGAAGGGAGGGGCAAAGACCAACTAAGAGTAGAAACTGCAGGCAGAGAAAGCTAAATGCAGCCAAAATGGGTAATGTCTTTCTAAGGCTTATGAATCCTAAGAAACATGTTGGGCAACACTGGCTCAGTGTTGATCCTGTTCACAGAAATTGTTTCCTACTCTCATTGGGGGAGTGAGAAAATAATATGTAACTATTGCATACTAAAATGAAACCAAAATCATATCATTCGGTCTCCCAGTTCAGGAGTGCATCACCATTTTCTTCAGTACCTGTTTTTCTTTTTAGTTGGCTTGGTTGATTGGCATTTATTTCATACTCCCCTCCCCTGCATCTCAATTACCCTGGCTGCTTTTCTGAGTGTTGATGGGTGGTTACCAGCTTGATCCATTGTTGCTCTTAGAATTACTTTCAAAGGGCTGGGTATGACGGCTCACGCTTTAATCCCAGCACTTTGGGAGGCTGAAGTGAGTGGATCGCTTGAGCCTAGTTCAAGACCAACCTGGGCAACATGGCGAAACCCTGCTTCTACCAAAAATACAAAAAATTAGTGTGGTGGCACGTGTCTGTGGTCCCAGCTGCTCAGGAGTCTGAGGTGGGAGAATCACTTGAGCCTGGGAGGTGGAGGTTGCAATGAGCTGAGATCGTGCCATCATTGCACTCCAGCCTGGGTGACAGAGTGAGACTGTCTCAAAAAAAACAAAAGGTCAGAAGTAAGATTCACATGAGTTGCTTCAGGATTAATACTCAGATTCTGCAAAACAGATTGCCAATTTGAAAACTCATCTATACGGCCTAATAGGAGTTCCCCTCTGCCATCAGTGGGTAATGCTCTTTGTCAGACTTACTTCCTTGGAAAGCACTTTTTTAGATCGCCTTGTCCTGGTTCTCCTTGGCTTCTGTGTAACCCAAGTGGTGTTTTTAATTGAATTCAGAAGGATTCAGTGAATGATATTTTCATTTCCTACAGAGCATATTTCTCTGGAATGATCCATCAAAGCCAACACTGACAAAAACGGCCTCCGTGATGCTTTTTCACGCACATTTTCAGAGATAAGACACCTTGCCCAAGCAACATTCAAGCGTCTGTGACTCACAGAGCTCAGTTCCAGGCAGTCTGGTGAGGCAACAGGGAGCTCACTGTGGTTCCGAATTGCAGATCAGTTTGAAAGAATTCCTACCAAGTGGCTTAATGGAATGTAGCATCACCTTATTTACATTAGTGTTGATGTGACTGTGATGACAAGCCAACCCAGAGTTATGAGTAGCTTAGTGAAGCATCCCAGAGATGTTTTTATTTAGGCAGCAGTGATTTGGCAGAAGGAAAACAAGTAAGCAGTCCAGGGTTTTGTAGGCTGGTCGTTACGCTCCTGTTGTGGTGGAGGCATGGATCTATGAATAGGTATTACTTTTGTGAAGAGCATAAGGAACATTCTGCAGTCACTTTTGTTTCTCACTTCCCCACTTTAATCCATGCTCGTCTGGTCTCTGCCCCATGTGTGAAATGTTAGTATTAATTATCTGCTGTGTAAAACATGCTTGTATTTGTTATCACTCCTCTAGTCACTGGTGTTCTGCCATATCCATTGGGTTCCCTTCAGTCCTCATCTTGATCTGCTGCATTCATACTGTTAACCTTTAAAACAAACAAACTCTCCTTCCATCTCCCTGACTTCCTTACTAGTTCCACAACACTTAAATGTTGGTGCTGGTGCCTTTGCCCTCTTCAGTCGTGTGATCTCTTGATCTCCATACTGTGGCTTCAACTACCACCTTGGCAGGGAAGTCCTCAAAGACCCACCTACTTTTTTTGTTTTTTTTAAGACGGAGTCTCACTCTGTCACCCAGGCTGGAGTGCAGTGGCATAATCTCGGCCCACTGCAGCCTCCACCTCACAGGTTCAAGTGATTCTTCTGCCTCAGCCTCCCCAGTACTTGGGACTACAGGCACGTGCCACTACGCCTGGCTAATTTTTGTATTTTTAGGAGAGAGAGGGTTTTGCCACCTTGGCCAGGCTGGTCTCGAACTCCTGACCTCAAGTGATCCACCCGTCTGGCCTCCCAAAGTGCTGGGATTACAGGCATGAGCCACTGCGCCCAGCCCAAATCTTTATTTCTAATTTTACTTTCTGCTAAAAAAAAAGACAGACACTCAAATGATAGTATTTTATTATAGAAAAAGCATCCCAAATACAGGATTTCGTAAACACTGGTAGGTGAACAAGTGCAATTTTAAAAGTAAATACAAAGTAAAGAGGCAAAACCTACAAGCATTTTGCCTTCAGAAGAAAATGTAATGTTCTCCTGCACTAGTGATCCCACCCAGAACACAAATATGGCTCCGTCTCCCATGAAGGCATCAGATTTGCTTTCTGAGCTCAGTATACCCATTTCAACAATTGCAAAGTGATGGCAAGAAGTGGCATTGAATACATTACTACAAACCTTTGACTTAAAATGTTGAGACAGGGTCTTGCTCTGCCATCCAGGCTGGAGTGCAGTGGCGTCATCGTATCTCACTGCAGCCTCATCCTCCTGAGCTCAAGAGTCATCCTGCCTCAGCCTCTTGAGTAGCTGGGACTACAGGTATGCACTACCATGTCCATGCCTGGCTATTTTTTTATTTTTTATGTTGCCCAGGCCAGTCTCAAACTCCTGACCTCAAGTGATCCTCCCACCTTGGCCTCCCAAAGTGCTGGGATTACCGGCATGAGCCACTGCACCCAGCCAAAACCTTTTTTTTTTCTTTCTTTTGAGACAGAGTCTTGCTCTGTTGCCCAGGCTGGAGTGCAGTGGCACGATCTTGGCTCGCTGCAACCTCCACCTCCCAGGTTCAAGCAATTCTCCTGCCTCAGCCTCCCAAGTAGCTGGGACTACAGGCGCTCGCCACCACACCCAGCTGATTTTTTTTGTATTTTTAGTAGACACGGGGTTTCACTGTGTTGGCCAGGCTGGTCTCAAACTCCTGACCTTAGGTGATTTGCCGGCCTTGGCCTCCCAAAGTGCTGGGATTACAGGCGTAAGCCACCATGCCTGGCCAAAAACCCTTGCTTTTTAACTTCAGAACACTTAAATGTTAACAATACATTATAAGCCTTTCCAGGGCCTAGGGGAAACCATTAAATGATCTGACTCACTTTAACACTGTCATCTTGCCCGCCCTCCAACTCCTCAGTGGCAAATGTTTCCTCATCGAAACAGCATGGTATGATGCAGATGCAAACTCAAGATTCTAAACTTCAGATTCGGGTTAATCTCGGCTTGCCAATTACTCTGGCTAAAACCATTTTCTTATGAAAATGTTTCTCTGTCAACAGCCTGGCTTGCTTATTTAGGCACTTAGAAGAAAACACCAAACCCAAGTTCCACCTTTTTACGATTACAAATGCCTCTTACCCATCTGGCCAGTAACCAACTATGAAGGGGGTGACTTCAACCCAGCCCTTGTTTCTGTGAGGACTGAGAGGTCCTACTTTTGCAGAATGGCCTGCCCCTGGGAATGGAGCAGGCTTGGGTGAGCTCCAGGTGGAGGGTGATGGGTGGGGCATAGACATAAATCTTCCTCTCCACCAGAAGGAACCTGTGATCCCAGCTTTTCCTTCAGTCACCACCACCTCGTGACACTAGAAAGCCTACCATCAAAGATTTCCAGCTTACTGAAACCCCACAGGTTGGGCTTAAATGCATGTTAACCTAACTTGGGGGAAAAAAGACCTCAATCTGGAAAGCCTGAGCAAAGTAAAGGGTTACACAGAACAGTGTCAAGTATATGCCATACTTCATACCTGGTATTTTCCCTAAGCAAGAACTAATTAGTTTTCATTTTTAAGTGTTAGTTGTGGCATGTTTACACTTAAATGTTAACAATACCTAAGCTGTGAAACAGAAGTTATACATACTTATTATGGAATATACAAACACTAGGTAATTCAAATTTCCTTTGTAATGGCATGGAAGTCTACTGAGAAGCAGAAAGGAAGCACCATTTAACAATTATCTGGGCTAGTCAACTGGTAGTGGGTATAAATGTACTGGTAAGGTCAAGGCCAAACCTGACCTCAAATATGAGCCAATTAGTTTCATAGAAGTAAAATTACCTTCTAGCTACAAATAATCCTAACCCTTAATCCAGGCCATTGGCCTTGCAAATGGATGCCAATAGTCATCTGGTGGGGAATAGCTCAATTTAACCACTTACTACATCCTAGTGAAGAACAGAGTATTAATTTCCACAGTGATGCCAGTCATACGTAGAGAACATAAGAACACTTCTTCAGCCCTGGAAAGAGCTTTCAAATCTACCCGGCTTTTAACTTTGGATGATTATGACTAGGTCATTACATGGAATTGAGTAGCCTCTCCTACACAGGATGAGCATCCCAAATCCAAAAATCCAAAATCTGAAGTGCTCCAAAGTCTTTTTTTTTTTTGAGTGCCGACATGATGTTCAAAAGCCTTTCAGATTTCGGGTACTTAACTGTTAGGTATTCCAAAATGTGACACCTGAAACCTTTCTGGTCCCAAGCATTTTGGATAAGAGATACTCAACCTGTATTCCAGTCAGCTTCTACCACAAACTGGGAGATAATCCCAAAATACTTTTATCTGGCTCTGGACTCTAAATTTAGCGGTACTATTAACAGCCATGGAGAAGAGGAAGGAAGATGGTTCAGCACTGTGGGGGCTGAGAAGGGTGATCTGGGTGATCATGCACTGATAATAGAGCTGATAGATCAAATAAAATGACCGGGCTTAATTTCCATTCAACTCACCCTTCCTTTAGGGATGACATTGGTATAATTTTCTTACCCAATGTGTGAGCAGCTATTAGGCTATTTCAAGAACCAAAATACACTGATATCCAAAAATCCCATGGTATGAAAAGATAAGAGAAAAATCCTGCTAGGACAGCGACTGTGCAGATGATGCTTCCCACCCAGCTTCACTGCATACACCCCGTGCTGGCACTCTTACAAGTCTTTCTGTTGAGAAAGTGAGCAATTGTGAGCAATTTCTGTCCTCATCTTAAAAGCCTTTAAGCCATATCTAAGGTCTCCTAGCCACATCCACAGCAATGTGCTGCTCCAGAGTGTTAAGACCTATGGTTTCACACCAGATTCCAAGCCAGGATAACCCAATTGGCCTGATTTGGAGGTTCTTCTACTTTTGAGTTTCATTCCAAATGAATCATCCATTTGTTTTTAGACTCCAAAACCTTGAAGCTAAAAAGGTCTCATCAACATTATTATTCCATTATCCTTCCTGCCAAAGAATCTGTGGTTTTGAATTGTTTGCTGCGTTAATGAGAAGCAAATCTGAATTTAACCTCTTAGGAATTTCCTTTTGGACATTCTGAACGAGACCCTAGTTCTTTCCAGATGCAATTTGGGTGCAGAGGCCACCAAGAATGGCATCTTCATTAACCTCTAATGAGCATCCGATTGGTGCCTGTTTTTAAAAGTTAGAGATTGTCACCTTTTAAGTTTGGTCCCTTTGCTACTAAGCAATTTGCCTGGTATAAAACAAAACAAAAACAAAACCCAAGAACAGAGTATAAAGGATAAGGACTGCTTTGCTAAACACAAGGCAACAGTCTTGACTTCCTTTCCTGCTTTTGCCGTTACACAAAGACTCAGTGAACAGCACCAGACCCAAATTTTTCAAGTTATCAGGGATGCTGCAAAGATGGTAGCTAATTTGAGTACTTCTTCATCCCCTGCCAGAGGCACAGACTTACTGGAAAGGACACATGTTAATTATGGGAGAAAGGAAAAGGATAGGGGAGAAGCATGATTCCTACTCAGGGTGAGACAAATCATGAGGGAGGGCTGGCTGCAGGCATCTTAGGTGAGATGGGCTCCCACAAGGGGTAGACCCACAGCTGGCCCTAATCCTGAAAGTCGTTAGAAGCCATCTGAGAAAGTGGGGCATTTAGCCGGTCAAGTTCATCCACTTGGGGTGGGTGATGCATTAATATTTCATGGTCCTCCAAGACATCATCTCCAGCAGCTACCAGATTCGTGAGGGATTTGCTTCGAACACACTGGAAATCCACATGGCGACTCTTCCCTTCTTCCTTTTCCCATGACATCTGGATGAAGGGGCGTTGTACGTAATTATAGATGACTTCAGACCGGCCACCAGGCCTTCTCTTAATTTTTTCTTTACAGGTAGGGTAACCTGCAATGGAAAAAGGCCATTCTCATGACTAACACATTGTGCTCACTCTGCTGTCCATACTTTCTCCTTTGTAACCACATCAGTTTTCTCCCAAAATCACAGCACAGAAAATATGTGGGAAGTGACCAGTCCCTGCCCCATGCTCTCCCAGCCCCAGTCACTTACATGTTCACTTCCTTTTAGTCAGATAGTAGGTCTTGTCCCTAGAAGGAACTAATCTGAGAAGTAACAAGAATTCTATCCCTTCTAATGGAAAGGAGAGAAGCCTCTAACTAGTTCAGGAGCCTGTTGTTGCTGGCAACAATACCATAGAACAAAAATCCTGCCAAGGCATGGCTACCCTAGTCCTCTTAATTCTGTTGCTTAGAGGGCATACTGTATGAGAAATAGTTAAGGAAATGTGGAATGTTTAGCCTAAAGAAAAAACAAAGATGCTGCCTAAAATATGTGAAAGTCTGTCACATGGAAATGGGAAAAATAGTCAAAGTAGCTTCAGAGGCTATTAACTAGAAGGCACGCAGGAGAGGGAGGCCGTTATGTATTAAATATGTATGGCATAATGTTCTAATGGTAAAACAGTTTGATGGGTGGTTCTGGGAAATGCACCCAACAGACAAGGGAAAGACCGAGTAGGAGGAGATTTAATAATCTCAAAAATGTCTTCCGGCCGGGCGCAGTGGCTCAAGCCTGTAATCCCAGCACTTTGGGAGGCCGAGACGGGCGGATCACGAGGTCAGGAGATCGAGACCATCCTGGCGAACATGGTGAAACCCCGTCTCTACTAAAAAATACAAAAAACTAGCCGGGCGAGGTGGCGGGTGCCTGTAGTCCCAGCTACTCGGGAGGCTGAGGCAGGAGAATGGCATGAACCCGGGAGGCGGAGCTTGCAGTGAGCTGAGATCTGGCCACTGCACTCCAGCTCGGGAGACAAAGCGAGACTCCGTCTCAAAAAAAAAAAAAAAAAAAAGTCTTCCAAGGCTGGGCACTGTGGCTCACACCTGTAATTCTAGCACTTTGGGAGGGCAAGGCAGGAGGATCACTTGAGTCCAGGAGTTCAGAACCAGTCTAGGTCAGAGGGAGATCTCATCTCTTAGAAAAAAGGTTAAAAAAAATAATAATGGAGCACAGTGGTGCGTGCCTGTGGTCTCTGCTACACGGCAGGCTGAGGCAGGAGGACCAGTTGAGCCCAGGAAGGCAAGAATGCAGTAAGCCATGATTGTGTCACTGTACTCCAGTGTGAGCAGAAGTACTCCAGTGTGTCTCTTTAAAAAAAAAAAGAAAAGTCTTCCAACTTTATATTCAACTTAAGTCAGACACAATGAAGCTTTGACAGGTTCTGTGGGCAGAAATGAGGCCACAAGAGTAGCAAAGCACAAGAGTCAAACAAAGATCCACGTAGGAGGTCAGGCGCGGTGGTTCATACTTGTAATCCCAGCACTTTGGGAGGCCGAGGTAGACGGATCACGAGACCAGAAGATCGAGACCATCCTGGCTAACATGTTGAAACCCCGTCTCTACTAAAAATACAAAAAAATTAGCCAGGTGTGGTGGCGAGTGCCTGTAGTCCCAGCTACTCAGGAGGCTGAGGCAGAAGAATCGCGTGAATCAAGGAGGCAGAGCTTGCAGTGAGCCGAGATGGTGCCACTGCACTCCAACTGGGCGACAGAGTGAGACTCCATCTCAAAAAAAAAAAACATCCACATAGGGGAGACCAGATGACTTTAGCACTCTCCAGGAATCAGTCTCTTGAGAGCCTTCCATGGGGACCACAGGCTGGGAGCCACTGTTCAAGATCATTCAAAGTAGTTCTGTTAATATATTCAGACATTCCTCAAAAGTATGGAATAATCTTTTTTGTTTTTTTTTTTTTTTTTTTTTTAGACGAAGTTTAACTCTTGTTGCCTAGGCTGGAGTGCAATGGCACGATCTCAGCTCCCTGCAACCTTTGCCTCTTGGGTTCAAGTGATTCTCCTGCCTCAGCCTCCTGAGTAGCTGGGATTACAGGCATGTGCCACCATACAAAAATACAAGTTTTATATTTTTAGTAGAGACAGGGTTTCTCCATGTTGGTCAGGCTGGTCTCAAACTCTTGACCTCAAGTGATCCGCCTGCCTTGGCCTCCCAAAGTGCTGGGATTATAGGCATGAGAAACTGCGCCCGGCTGGAATAATCTTAAATTTTGAGTCCCCAAGTTATTTTTTCAGAAGGACCCTTCCAGATGCCAGAAACATCTTCACCAAGATTGGTGGCAGAACAACGCTCTCACCTGGTGAGCCCACAAACCCTGCTATATCTCCCTACCACTGTCCTTTGCCCTCACTGCTCTTTATCCTGAAGTAGTAAACTCGAACTTGTTTCTGTGGCTGCTCTGAACCATTTTCAACTGGAGATAAAATGAAAAGAAAAATGACAAAAACAAAAACAGGAACCCTTCAAACTTGAGTAAGAATGTGGTTTTCATGTATGCCTATTTTCTAGGCCCTCTGGAGGCTAAATTTTGAGGACATAAGCTGTGGCCATAGACCCAACCTGAATATTGACTGGGATTTTTTTTTTTTTTTTTTTTTTTTACCTTCAATTCCAATGCGAATGTTTTTCAGGCCCCGTTCCTTTAACACTGTTTTTGCAACATCCCTATTCTCAATATATTTGAAGAATCTGTACAGCTTGGAGCTATAAAGAACTGTAAAAGAAAAAATAGGGGTTAGCCATGGAGTAAAGACCTAAGAGGAAAGAGATAAGCTAACAGAATCAAACTAATGAAAGATATACTTGACCACTAATCCCAAATAATCCAGATGGATCAAATATTAAATGTTAAATAATACATAAACCATAAGAGAAATTTTTATAGTCTCAGGGTGGGGACTTTCTGGGTACAACGTTAAACCTAGAAGTCATAAAAGCTGATGATTATAGAAATATAACATCTCTGCATAGCCTAAACCACCATTTACCAAAGCTAAAAAGACAACCGAATGAGAAAATATTTGCAACTCATAAAAGGCTAATTTCCTTAATTAGAAAGAGCCGCCACAAATAGAACTTTCACAAATCACTAAGTAAAAGGACTAACAATCTGATTTCATAATGTGGCAAAAGGCACAAACACCATTAACAAAAAAGGAAATTACAATGGCTCTTGAAAACTAAAAAGGTTTTGGCTGGGTGTGGTGGCTCACACCTGTAATCCCAGCACTTTGGGAGGCTGAGGCAGGCAGATCAGTTGAAGTCAGGAGTTGGAGACCAGCCTGGCCAACATGGTAAAACCCCGTCTCTACTAAAAATACAAAAATTAGGCATAGTGGTGGGTGTCTGTAATCCCAGCTACTTGGGAGGCTGAGGCTGGAGAAGCAATTGAACCCAGGAGGCGGGAAGTTGCAGTGAGCCAAGATCATGCCATTGCACTCCAGCCTGGCCAAGAGAAGGGAGATACCATCTCAAAAAAAAAAAAAAAATTTCAGCCTCACTCATGAAATAAAAAATGTAATTAAAACTCATGCCAATCATGAGATTCTGCGGTTTTTTACCTATTAAGAAAGTAGCAAAGATAAAAGTCTTAAAAACACTGTTTTGGGGCCAGGCACAGTGGCTCACGCCTGTAATCCCAACACTTTGGGTGGCAGATACGGGAAGATGGCTTGAGGCCAGGAGTTTGGGTGGGAGACTAGCCTAGGCAAGGCAACATAGACCCCATTTCTACACACACACACACGAAATTAGCCAGTCATGGTGGCACACACCTGCAGCCCAGGCTACTTGGAGGCTGAGGTGGGAGAATCACTTGAGACTAGGAGTTTGAGGCTGCAGTGAGCCATGGTTGCACCACTGCACTCCAGCCTGGGTGAAAGAGCAAGATTCTATCTGTAAAAAAATTTTTTCAAAAGCCACGGTTGGCCAGGCATGGTGGCTCACGCCTACAATCCTAGCACTTGAGAGGCTCAGGTGGGTGGATCACTTGAGGTCAGGAATTTGAGACCAGCCTGGCCAACATGGTGAAACCCTGTTTCTACTACTAATACAAAAATTAGCCAGGCGTGGTGGCACACACCTGTAGTCCCAGCTACTTGGGAGGCTGAGGCATAAGAATCACTTGAACCCAGGAGGCAGGACTCTGTCTCAAAAAAAAAAAAAAAGCCACTGTTTTGGTGAGGGGGTGGGAAACAAACCTGTCATGTATTGTTTTGTGAGTGTAAATTGGTACAAATTTTATGGAGCGTAATTTGGCAACATCTATCAAAATTATAAAGGTATAATTTTTTTTTTTTTTTGAGATGGAGTCTCGCTCTGTCACTCAGGCTCTAGTGCAGTGATGTGATCTCGGCTCACTGCAACATCCAACGTCCACCTCCTGGGTTCAAGTGATTCTCCTGCCTCTCAGCCTCCTGAGTAGCTGGGATTACAGGCATGAGCCACCACGCCCAGCTAATTTTTGTATTTTTAATAGAAACGGGGTTTCACTATATTGGCAAGGGTGGTCGTGAACTCCTGACCTCAAGCAATCCGCCCACCTCGGCCTCCCAAAGTGCTGGGATTACAGGCATAAGCCACTGCGCCTGGCCAATAGTTTAAATGTCCAGGAATGGCTGGTTAAATCAATTACGGCACATTTGTGCAAGGGAATACTATAGAGCCACAGAAAAAGAACGTCGAAGATTTTTTTTTTTTTTTGAGACGGAGTCTCACGCTGTCACCTGGGCTGGAGTGCAGTGGCGCGATCTCGGCTCACTGCAACCTCTGTCTCCCAGGTTCACCTGATTCTCCTGCCTCAGCCTCCTGAGTAGCTGGGACTACAGGCACACACCACCATGCCTGGCTAATTTTTTGTATTTTTAGAAGAGACGGGCTTTCATTATGTTGGCCAGACTGGTCTCGAACTCCTGACCTCGTGATTCTCCCGCCTCAGCCTCCCAAAGTGCTGGGATTACAGGCGTGAGCCACCGTGCCCGGCCCATAATATCGAAGATTTTTGTTAACACATGGCACAGAAGAGCTGTATAATATGGTACATGAAAAAGGAGGAGAAAACAAGTAATTGGTTATCTATGTACATTGAATATACTTGGAAGCCTGTAAAAGAAATTGAGAAGCAAAACTGGATGGGGCAGGAGTGAGAGTAAGACTTTTTAGTGTATATCCTGTTATGTTTTTTGAATTCTGATTACCAATTCAAAAGGATTTAAAAATGAATTAAGAGAAGAATGCCACCATCATTTAATGTGCTGCTTCAGTATCTTACACAGTACGAGACACCAGAGAAAGAGTGAATGGTGTAACAACATTCCCTGTGTTCCCCAGCATAAAGGCTAGCCCTGCATCACTACGGATTTGTCATCCAGGTGAGTGTGCTCATCACAGGCTCAACATTGATATTCACAGTGGTTCTAGGATCAAGCTGCTACTCCAGGTAGCGAGTTTCTTGCTGAAAACATCTACACCATGCCAGAAGCTCCTACTTTGGGAATATTCCTCCCCCATTGGTGGAGGGTGGTCTTCATCCCAGTCCACAGAATCCTCATCCGTCAGCACAACAATGTGGCACTCTCGCTCTCCTTTCTTGGCACAGCCCACCATGATAGGCAAGATCAGCTCTTCGAGGTAGTGATCAAACTGCTTATGAGCACCGTCATTGGACAGTTCATGCAGTAAAGCACCTGCAGAGAGAAAATGTGGGTGAACATGCTTTCTGCCTAAATGCACATATTACTGGAGAGAAAAAGACTATGAGGGAATGGCTGTTATCATTGATGAGGTTCAGAGAAGTGGCACATTTAAAGGCAAAGAGATTGTTTCCTGCTCCAAGGTGATAATTAAGCTTTGTTAAGGTATGTCTCCTATTCTACCACTCTTCAATTTACTCATGTTTAGTAATCCTTGAGCATTCTGATCAGCTGGGGTTTTGTTGGACATACAAGGTCAGACCATAAATGTTCATTCTGTAAGAGATGAAATCATCATTTGTAGTACCTCTTCTGAAGATGGTTTGGATCCTGATTTCATGGAGTTAGAGTACCATAATAGAGGAATAATCTGAATTTTGGTGACACCAAAGGACTTACTCTAAATGTGTAATACACTCAGTAGAGAAATCACATGTACTTCATGCAACATGCAGGGAAATGTATCATGAAATTCAAAGAATAGTTATTTAAATAATTTCAGGAAGCCCAGGTAATAAGAGCATGGAATTTGCAGTCAGACAATCTGAGTTCTAATCCTAGCCTTAATGCCTAGAGCTCTGAACAAACTGATTTCTTAAATGAGGTTATCACCCATCTTTCAGGATTGTTAAAGATTTAAGCAAGTCCATATCTATAAAGCACTTAGCAAACACTAAGTTAATAATTATAGGCTGGGCGCAGTGGCTCATGCCTGTAACCTCAGCACTTTGGGAGGCCGAGGTGGCAGATCATTTGAGGTCAGGAGTTCGAGACCAGGCTGGCCAACATGGTGTAAACCCTATCTCTACTAAAAATGCAAAAATTAGCCAGGCATGGTGGCATGCACCTGTAATCCCAGCTGCTCTGGCAGAAGAACTGCTTGAATCCAGGAGGTGGAGGCTGCAGTGAGCTGAGATTGTGCCACTGCACTCCAGCCTGGGTGACAGAGTGAGACTCTGTCTCCAAAACAAAACAATAATAATAGCCAGGTGTGGTGGCATGTACCTGTAGTCCCAGCTACTCAGGAAGCTGAGGTGGGAGGACTGCTTGAGGCCAGGAGTTTGAGACCAGCCTGAGCAACATAGCAGCAAGACCCCATCTCAAATTAAAAAAAAAAGGGGGGGCAATATAATGATCAGGAGAACCTGGCCAATTTGTGCTATTTGATTTTATTAGTGAACTGTTCCTCATGTTGGACAATCAGTATCCTTGTTTGTTAGAGTTGAGACACCAAAGTCCCAAGAGGGAAGCTGTCAGCTTGGTCTCCCACTGGTCAAGCTCCATTTAGAAACTACTATCTGTTTTCCTTTGTCTGCTCCAGTTTCTCACAGTGCTTTGAACCAAGAGAGGAAAAGGGTTAGTCAGTATCACATCTCTGCCTCTGCAGAAGATTTTCAACCTACACGTGAAATTCCTTCTGTTTAATAATAGAAAATGTCAGCTGGGCTTGGTGGCTCACGCCTGTAATCCCAGCACTTTGGGAGGCCAAGGCGGGCAGCTCACCTGAGGTCAGGAGTTCAAAACCAGCCCGGCCAACATGGCGAAACCCTGACTCTACTAAAAATACAAAAATTAGCCAGGCGTGGTGGCAGGCGTGTGTAATCCCAGCTACTCGGGAGGCTGAGGCAGGGAGATTCCCTTGAACCCGGGAGGTGGAGGTTGCAGTGAGCTGAGATCACGCCACTGCACTCCAGCCTTGGCAACAGAGCGAGACTCTGTCTCAAAAACAACAACAACAAAAAATCAGTGACTTACAAGAAAACACAAAGTTCAGCTGGTTAAGTGCAGCTGGCAGCTGCTCCTGTACTTACTCAGATCTTGACATCGGATAGTGTTGAAATCAAAATTAATGCAGAGATAATCACATGTATCTCTAAGATCTGGGATAGAGATGCCATCAGGACAATTGATGATACCGGTTTTGTAATAGTCCTGTAAATAGATTAGGAAGAAAAAATGTAGGCAAAGAACAAGATGAAAAATTACTTCTTCATCCCTATGCATTCCTGGTTGTTAAAGCAATGAGCTACCGGAATTATCACCAAATTGGATGATTCATTAGATGGCAAAACAGTTCCTGGCTATCTTGACTTGTTTAATCAGAACTTGGTAACTGATAGAGCTCACACACAAACAGGCAAGGACTTAAAAGTTACAGGAACAGAAAACAAAGGGAGAAAGAAACAACTGGAAACCAGAGACCCTAAAGTCAATAACATAGTTGATGGAACTCTCAAGGCTATTGATCACACATGCCCCTGGGGAAGAGAATGTAACAAAAAAGGCTACCACACACCAGCACTGTGCGAAATACAGTTGCACTGATGCCTTCAGCAATCTCATACTCTCCCTTCTCATTGGGCCGAGTGAAGTTGTACTCTCTTCCTGGTCCAAACATCCTGAAAGATACCCAGGCAATAATGTTATCTTCTCCAGCATGATTCTTCACAGATGAGACTTCTCCTTTCTCCACCTCATTCTGGAAGACTCCATCCCACTCTCTCATGGTATAAATTAAAAACATAGCACTGGGACCCAATGCCTACAAGACAACTCAAGTCTTAGGAAACTCCCTTCAGACAGGAAAAGAAGGCAACTGCTTTAAGCATTTGTGTGCAAAGAAGAATGAAGGATCAAGTCCACAAAGTTCATCTGTAGTGAGTTTCTTTGGCAGTAAATGCAGTAAACAGCAACTGCAGAGGTGGCCCTTGGAAAATATCTGTGTTGAGATGGTGGCCTTTCATGCCCTCCCCACTGCCCAAGAACCTGCTTTTCTATACTGACAGCTCAGGAAGACAGCATCTAAGCTCCTTTTTATCCCTGTCTCCTCGTCTGTCAACACTGACCTATCTAATATGCCATTCATCAATATTTCTGAACTTTACTTTTCAACATCTCATCTTCTGTTACATGCAGCTATGTTAATGCTTTCCTGGTATGTCTTAATAGTGGAGCTCTGGGGGAAAAATGGCCTTACTCAATACAAAGAATAACTAATGATGGGATTTTCAGATCGAGTAGAAGAGGGTAGGCATTAGGCTTATCAGCAGTTTACTGCATTTCAGAGAGACAGGCTTGCTGTTAGCATGAACTCAGAAGTCATGAGAGTACAGGGAGGAGAGCTTTTCTTATTCGCCTCTCCCCATCCTTCCTCCCTCTGTCAGATCCCCTGCAGTCTAAATGACCCCATGACTTCCACTCCTGCTGCACTTCTGTGTATGAGCTGTGGAATGGTTAGATAACACAAAGGATAGAGCGGGCAGCTGCTATCTTCAACCAGCCTAAGATTTGACTTCCCAATCAAATGGGGGCTTACTGCCATTTCCTTCCTTAAACTGCTGGGAAGTGTTGCTGTTCAGCTGTTCACAACTGTTGTCCTCCAGCCTGAACTGGCTGCTTTTCAAAGGTCTGAAAATGATTCCATTTCGGCCAGGCGCGGTGGCTCATGCCTGTAATCCCAGCACTTTGGGAGCCAAGGCAGGTGGATCACGAGGTCAGGAGACTGAGACCATCCTGGCTAGCATGGTGAAACCCCATCTCTACTAAAAAAAAAAAAAATACAAAAAATTAGCCAGGCGAGGTGGTGGACGCCTGTAGTCCCAGCTGTGCAGGAGGCTGAGGCAGGAGAATGGCGTGAACCCAGGAGACAGAGCTTGCAGTGAGCCGAGATTGTGCCACTGCACTCCAGCCTGGGTGACAGAGCGAGACTCTGTCTCAAAAACAAAAAAAAACAAAAAAAGAAAGAAAGAAAATGATTCAATTTTACATGTTTCCCAAGTAACTGTACCACACATAAGAAATCCATCTTGATAAAAGTAGCCTCCAAAGAATGCAGATGTTTTTCTGGAATGCTCTGGTTGAATGAAGTCTAGCTCAGAGAGCTTTGAATAAAAATAGTGAACATATTGTAAATATAATCCTCCCTATTTATCATCAGTAGGACTTCAGCTCAGAGTATTTAGTAATGGCATGGATCTGCATTAATCCATTCTCTTTCTCTCAGCTTCTCCCCTTGTGACTAGTGGCCCACATCTGTAAGTTCACTGGCTAGGCTCAGAAGTACTGTATATAATCACAGGACAGGTAGCCACAGAACAGAACAAATCTAAATAACCTACAGAATTTACGACCTTGCCAATTCAGCTGAATGAACCATACAGATAAAGAACCAGACTCTCTTCTTCATGGGACAACCCATTCCAAGGTTCAGAAAACCAGTTTCACCCAAGAATATATTACCCAGAAAACATTTGCCTTTCTTCTCTTGATCACTACTTTCAGAGGCAACATACCTAAAACAGCCAGCCTGCACTGAGAAACACTTTTTTCAAGGGGTGGGAATGCTGGTAATATCCAAACTGAGAACAGGAATTCAAGCCTGATAAAAAAATACAGGGCCAGTCTGGAAAATGTGTTAATGTTCTACTTTTATCTTAATTCAGATGTTTAAGAAATATGTAGACAGGTTTAGCTCTAATTAAAAAGTGGTTCACTGTGGCCAGGCACAGTGGCTCATGCCTGTAATCCCAGCATTCTGGGAGGCTGAGGTGGGCGGATCACGAGGTCAGTTCAAGACCAGCCTGACCAACATGGTGAAACCCTGTCTCTACTGAAAATACAAAAATTAGCCGGGTGTGGTGGCACACACCTGTAATCCCAGCTACTTGGGAGGCTGAGGCAGGAGAATTGCTTGAACCCGGGAGGCGGAGGTTGCAGTGAGCCGAGATCGCACCACTGCCCTCCAGCCTCGGTGACAGAGCGAGACTCCATCTCAAAAAAAAAAAAAAGTAGTTCACTGTGAATTTATATGTTCAAATACACATATATTTGAATAGCTGGATTCTATTTAGCCTAGAATTCAATAAATTAGTGTGATCGATTCGAATTTCTAACTCAGTTTAAATTAATTCAAAGTCCTGAGGTTAGATCTCTAAACAAAATAAAATCTACTTCTAAGTAGATGAAAATGATCAAAAGCCAAATCTACATGTATAATATCATTATTATTACTATTTTTACTCTTATCCCAATTTGCTCTTCCTTGGGTTAAGGTCTATGGTTGGCCAAAAAGACAATCTCTTAACTCCTAGCCCAGGCTCTGAGACTCCTTCCTGGACAGTTTTCCTTCTTAGTAGGCTATTTCCATTTCCTAAACTCTAACCTTAAAAATCTGAGGGCCAGAGATGGTTAAGAAGAGGGTAAATCTGAATGAAGCAGCACAGAGAATGGACCATGAAGAATAAAGAGGGCAATCGTGAAACAAACAACAAAGCAACTAGGTTTAAAGACTCCACTTAAAGATTACATTTCAAAAAACTTGAATAGTAATGGAAGCATTAGAAAATGACAGCATAGCATCTGTTGCCAAGCATAAAACTTGCAATAGATGGCAGGGAAATGGTTTTCAGTAAAATGGCTTTGTTCTTGGGCCATGTAGAACATTTGCCTAATACTGTTTTTTTTTTTTTTTTTTTTTTTTAAAAAGGGAGCAAGATTTAGGTCTCACCTTACCCCCAGCATCTCTGACCTATGAAACTCTGAAAACATTACTTAGAGTGAATTTGTAGAGGAGCAGAGAATGAGATTTAGCAGGTTATTTTTTCATCGTTTCCAAATAGGTTTTATTTTCTTTTGTGGGGCTCATTTTACTATACTGGCTTTGTAAATGAAGAACTCTCCCCACCCTGAAATACCAACACGTATTAGGCTTTTACCAGCTTGCCCTCCCTTCACAAATGTATGAGGGCAGAAAAATAAAAATACAATGGTTTTTTTTTTTTTTTTTGAGACGGAGTCTTGCTCTGTCGCCCAGGCTGGAGTGCAATGGTGCGGTCTCGGCTCACTGCAACCTCCACCTTCCGGGGTTCAGGCGATTCTCCTGCCTCAGCCTCCCAAGTAGCAGCTGGGATTACAGGCACCTGCCACCACACCCAGCTAATTTTTGTATTTTTAGTAGAGATGGGGTTTCACCATGTTGGCCAGGCTGGTCTCCAACTCCCGACCTCAGGTGATCTGCCTGCCTCGACCTCCCAAAGTGCTCAGATTACAGGCATGAGCCACCGCGCCCAGCCTATGCAATGCTTTTTATTGTTATATCTAATGCAAGATAAACAGCAGGTATTTCTATTTATAGAAAGCAGAGGGAATCTGGAAGAAAATTATCAATTACCTTCCCAGCATGGTATCCGGATGAGCAGTGAAAATCTGTGGATTCACAACAAAACGTGTGCCATCTACAAGAAGCGTCACTTTCTCTGGTGCTTGGGAATGGGAATTACTGCCAAAGCCCACACTACTGTTTCCAAATCTTTCTGGAGCAATAAAAGGTTCATGGTTCCGTTTATTCCCACTTTGGAAGCAAGAACCTTTGATGTCTTCAGCAAGGGACATTATGTGAGGGAACTGAAGATTTGCTGGCTGAGAGGCATAGTCAAGCGAGAGGTCTAAAAGAACATACAAAGAAACCAAAACAACTTGAGAGCAAAAGCCTTGAGAGAAAAACCCTATCTTCTTTAAAACAACAAGCAAACACACAAAAAAACCCCCAAATTTTAGGTGTTGACAGGCAAAAAACCTCTTGCCTACAGCTAGTAAAAAGCAAGCAAACAAACTAGAGACTCATATTGGATCTCCTCCATGTACACGTGAGGGTTGGCGGAGGGAGGGGAAGAAGGCAGAATGCTCACACTTGAACATTATTTAAATCTTCTAAAGTAAACTATGTATATGGTTAAGAAAAACAGTAGAGAAGAATTTATGTGGAGGCCCAAGAGTCTCCCCTGTTATTCCCTGTACCTTCCCTGGTGTTGGTTCAGACGCAGTCGCTTTTTACTTGTTTTCACTTCTATTGCTAAATAATACTTTTATATTTCCTGTGTTTTATTTAAGGAACCTGCTATTAATATGTGCCAAAACTATTCATTTTCAAATTCTTCAAAATTGTTTTAAAATTTATTTCCCAGAAGGGATAATGATAGTCTTTAATTTTCCAATATATTACTTTTCCTAGAAATTCACAGTAAAAGGCATTTTCACTATGTACAGGAGAATCCTAACATCACCTACACTATTTTTTCAAAAAGGCAGGTCTTACTCTCAGCAGAGAAGTTCCAGTGCAAATGACATTAGAATTCATTCGTAAAATCTGTTTCTCAGTATCACCAAAAAGCTGTTTTCTTTAAGCAATTTATTTAATTTTTTTTTTTTTTTTTTTTTTTTTTTTTTTTTTGAGATGGAGTCTCACACTGTCGCCCAGGCTGGAGTGCAGTCATGCAATCTCAGCTCACTGCAAGCTCCACCTCCCGGGTTCACGTCATTCTCCTGCCTCAGCCTCCTGAGTAGCTGGGACTATAGGCGCCCACCACTACGCCTGGCTAATTTTTTGTATTTTTTAGTAGAGACAGGGTTTCACCGAGTTAGTCAGGATGGTCTCGATCTACTGACCTCGCAATCCGCCCGCCTCGGCCTCCCAAAGTGCTGGGATTACAGGCGTGAGGCACCGTGCCTTGCCAGTTAATTTATTTAATTTTTCTACCTGGCCCATCATCTATAAAATGAGGATAAATAATGTTCACTCCATCTACCTCACAGGGCTGTTTCAATTATAAACTGAAATTAAGGATGTGAGAGCACTTAAAAATAGGCCGGGTGTGTGGCCTGCAAAGTGTTGGGATTACAGGTATGAGCCACCACACCCAGCCCTATTTTATTTTAATGTAAAAAAGGTTTTTAATGAAAAATTCCAAACATAGGAAAGCACAAACTTAATACATAAGCCCTATCACCTACATTTGGTAAGATTTGTTAACATTTTTCTACCTTTTCTTCAGGCCCTTTTTGAAAAAAAAGAAAAAAGGAAAAAAATGTTATCAATACAACTGAATTACTCCCACCTGTCATGTTTATAAAATTTGTAAACAAATTCAGGAACATGATTAATGCCTATGACCTCTGGGAAATTAGTCTGATTTCCTACACTCAAGACAACCAAATAAATTGTTGGGCAGAGGACACTTAGTTTTTTTTCCCATTTGTTTGTAGATAAAAGGCAACAAAAATATAGACCAAAAACCTATTTAGAGTTCACATCCCATAGCTTCTCATAAACTTTCAATGTGGTCTCATGTTTGCACACCAAAAGCTATGCTTCCAGGTAACCCACAGGCAAGCTTGTAGCAAGAAACACTTGGATCACCAGGATAGGCTTTCACACTTGAGGTGCTGTTTATTAAAAATGAAATAGATACCTGGGCCAGGCGCGGTGGCTCAGGCCTGTAATCCCAGCACTTTGGGAGGCCAAGGCGGGGAGATCGCAAGGTCAGGAGATCGAGACCATCCTGGCTAACACGGTGAAACCCCGTCTCTACTAAAAATACAAAAAATTAGCCAGGCGTGGTGGCGGGAGCTTGTAGTCCCAGCTACTCAGGAGGCTGAGGCAGGAGAATGGCGTGAACCCAGGAGGCGGAGCTTGCAGTGAGCCAAGACTGCGCCATTACACTCCAGCCTGGGCGACAGAGCGAGACTCTGTCTCAAAAAAAAAAAAGAAATAGATACCTGAATTACTAATTCAGTTCCTTATAATGCTTGATTTCTCCCCAATAATGAAGCAATTAAAATGGGTTTATTCCTAAACCCAAGGAAGAAACCTCAGGTTCTATCCTGCTTAAATGCGTGAGTAGGAAGAGAGACTCCTTGCACAAGTTCTCCCTAATGGTGTACTCTTTGACGGCAGTCATATGCTTTTCTGTCAGTTAATACACATATAGAAATCATCTCAGCCCACTACCTCCTAGCAATGTGAACCTGGGCAAGTTACCTAAGCTTTCTAAGCCTCAGTTTCCTCATCTGTAAAACAAGGATAATAGTTGTAAGGACTAATCTGAAGTAGAGTCAGCAAATTTTCCATAAAGGGCCACAAAGTAAATATTTTAAGCTTGTGGTCAGTCTCTGCCACTACTGTAGCAGGAAGGCAGCCATAGACAATATGGACATGATGGCTGTTTCATTAAAATTTTATTTACAAAAACAGACAGATTTGACCAGTTTGCCACCCCGATCGAAAGAATGTATGTAAAGTTCCTAGTACAGTGAATGCTCAATAGATGGTAGTTGCTATTATTGGTGCTATTGTTTTACTTAAAAGTTAAAAAGAATCTCAGTTTATTAGGAGCTTTCACATCTATTAACTTGTTAATCTACTATTCTTGTGAGGTAAGAATAATTTCTTTTTTTTTTTTTTTTTGAGACAGAGTCTCGCTCTCTTGCCCAGGCTGGAATGCAGTGGTGTGATCTAGGCTCACTGCAACCTCTGCCTCCCAGGATCGAGCGATTCTCGTGCCTCAGCCTCCCAAGTAGCTGAGATTACAGGCATCTGCCACCACGCCCGGCTAATTTTTGTATTTTTAGTAGAGATGGGGGTTTTGCCACGTTGGCCAGGCAGGCCTTGAAGTCCTGACCTCAAGTGATCCACTTACTTTGGCCTCCCAAAGTGCTAGGATTACAGGTGTGAGCCACCGCACCGGGCCTAGATAGAATATTAATAGCCTTGTTTTCCAGATTAAGAATGTGAGGCTCGCCAGCCTGGGCAAAATGGTGAAACCCTGTCTCTACCAAAAATATAAAAAATTAACTGGGTGTGGTGAATACACCTGTGGTCCCAGCTACTCGTGAGGCTGAGGTGGGAGGATCACTTGAGCCTGGGAGGCAGAGCTGCAGTGAGCCAAGATCACGCCACTGCACTCCAACCTGGGTGACAGAGTGACACCCCATCTCAAAAAAAAAGAAAAAAGAAAAAGCAGGGCTCAGAAAGACTTGAGGATCTCATCCATGGTTACAACTAATAAGCAGCTGAGTTAGAAGTTGAATGTCTTCTGACTCCAAACCTGTGGCTGTTTGTTTGTTTGTTTTAATACCATTATCACCACATTAGATGTGCTAGACTGATTAAATAAGTGGAGATTTTCTGTGAAGGTCAGCTTTATATAATTGTGATATGCAAGCTAAGCAATTAATTGGATAATTTATTTAGATTAAACACATTCATGCCTTCTGGGTAGAGTAGCTGCTTTGGTATTGGAAAGCCCCCCAAATTAAGTCAAGAGCTAATCACTGTACCTTCATTCCTGGGACCTAGAGGATAAGTAAGATTATGAGGACCAGATGAAGCCAGGCTATTTGCTTCTTTTTCTTGGGCTGCAACTGAAGTATCATCCACTAAGCAGCTGGCCTCCTGCCGCAATAACCTGTCACTGTCACTGCCACGGTGAACATTCATCCTTAGATTCTGAGTCCTGAACTGTCCGTTTGATCAGAGAGAAATCCTGGAACACAGGAATATGCATGATTTAGAACTCAAAAAACAGATTTCTAAGGACTTCCATGATATGAAAGCCAGACTAGAAAACTGACAGCTAGCATTCCTGTTCTCAGGAGAAACAGGCATCTTACACATTTTTGTGATTTTTAGATTAATAGGAATTGGGCTGATTTAAATGGTCTTTATCAAATCACTAAGAATGCAGATAAACTTGTTACCAGGGAATAATTTTATCCATGAACAGACATCAAATTCACTGACTTCGGCCACATTCATGATCAATTCTACATTAAATGGTGGTAAAATAATTCTGTGGTATTCACATTACAGAGACATAGGGTAGCAGGGAGTTCACATTTCAACTAAAGAAAACCTATGTTTTTCTAAATTGACACATATGCTTTTGCAACAGTTAAGCACTAGGATATTAAAAAACAATCACAACCTTAAAGCCAGTATGAGAATCATCTGAGCTGAAGAAAAAAGCTAATTCTGATTGTAGTGCTCAAGTTCTCCTTTTTTATCTCCCCTTTTCTCTCTTTCACTTTGTATACCTTATGCTCAATCCCGAAACCCCACCTCAGAATCACACTGACTACAAAGCTAATCATGTCATTCATCTCTCTCGAAAGCAGTGCAAAGTCCCCATGACCAACACACACTATGTAACTGCCATGTGCAAGACCCCCAATGATCAGGCAGGATGGAGACGCCACAGCAGCCACACAGGGGTCTTCATAACTTTCTGCTGGTTAATCATGCCCTGCAACCCCTCCATCCTCGATGGTGGCTAAACTACTCAAAATATTCCTGAAGTTCACTCTACTTAACACTTCCACAGTTTACACTGTACAAGTTTCCACTGGCATTCTGGTGGAAGAATCATCTTAAATCATCAGTAATTTGTATGCATATGGATTACATGCGTAATAATATTTTAGGAAACAGGAAGCTCACTAAGGGCAGTAATGCTTTTTAATGCTCTGAATTTCCTGGCATACCAAGCATGTGGTAGGTGCCAATAAACATCTATAAAAAATAAACATGATATCTGTAATGTAAATTAAATTTTGAATCCCTTCATAATGTATATTAAAATATTTTTAGCATAAAATTGATCAGTTTATGCCCTGGTCCAAGTTTTCACTTAGATGAAATGTAAAAATGACCACTTTGATAAGATGGATAGAGGAATACGCCTGAAAATAAATCATGCTAAAGAAGAGATACTTTCAGTTGATGAAATCTTTCTCAGACAATGGCTCTTATAAAGCAAATTGAAGGAATAAAGTGAATGTATTGATAGAAAACCTTCAATGTGACTACAGCTTTTTTCACAATTATCCTTTCTTAAAAAAAAGTATTTATATTACAAAAATGCAGTCATTTAAAGTTGATGCTTGGCGACTGGTAAAGTCAAACAGAACCACAGATGCCTTCAAGTTTGGCTCAGATGTCAAAATCAAGTCTAGAGAATAAGATAAAGAATGAGGTCCATGGAATTGGAAAGAACATTACCAAAGACGGTCTGCTTCTTTAATCTTAACTGGTTTTAAACCATAATGTTCCAATCTACTTACAGCTCCTCTAGCTGCTCAAGAACCAAGTTCAAACTTCTCTTTGTTGCACTCGAAAAGATCTCTTGAACCAACACACAATAAGCTTGACTAAGCCTGCCTCTTGAGAACTTGCATGGACTAGACTGTATAAGCCACTTAATTTAATCTCATAATGTAAGAAAATCATTTTGTTATCATGGAATAAAAAATGTCCTAGTTTATAAAACCAGGGCTCCAAAATCAGTTTAATTTGTATATGGTGAATTAATAAATGGATGTACTTGGAGTTTAGCAGGGTAGGTATCACCAGTGAGGGAAAATAAAGTAACTTTCTCAGCACTTAAAAGGTATTTGCATTTAATTAATTTTTATTATAAGTAATACAGATATATTCCCAAGAAAATTCAAACCTTATAGATAATGTGAAAAAGGACCTTTTGATCATCATTCCTAATCCCAGTCATTTCTCCAAGTAACTATCATTACTTGGTATGAATCCTTTTAGACTTTATTAAAATGCATATTTATTATACAGATATACTGGGGAAAGCATATAGTTTTTTAAAAACACACAAATTATACACTATATGCATCATTCTCATTCTCTAATGTTTTTCTAGATGTTCTTGAGAACCATCTATGATTGAAGATTGAGATCTAGTTCATTTGTTTTTAAGGGCTGTATAATATTCTACTAATACAATTTTACTCTCCTCCCTATGAATATTTAAGTTGTTTATAACAAACAAATGCTTTGATGAGTAAGATCAGAGTGTACTATGGAACTCCAAGAGAGGGTTCAATTTGCAGAGTTTTCCCAAATGGATTTGGTTTCAGAATTTCTTTTTTCAAGAAATCCTTCAGGGCCGGGCGCAGTGGCTCAAGCCTGTAATCCCAGCACTTTGGGAGGCCAAGGTGGGTGGATCACAAGGTCAGGAGATTGAGACCATCCTGGCTAACACGGTGAAACCCCATCTCTATTAAAAATACAAAAAATTACCCGGGCGTGGTGGGGGAGCACCTGTAGTCCCAGCTACTCAGGAGGCTGAGGCAGGAGAATAGCGTGAACCTGGGAGGTGGAGGTTGCAGTGAGCCAGCCTGGGTGAAAGTGCAAAACTCCGCCTCAAAAAAAAAAAAAAGAAAAGGAAGAAATTTATTTTTTTCAGAGACAGAGTCTCTCACTCGTTGCACAGGCCGGAGTGCAATGGTGTGATCTCGGCTCACTGCAACCTCCACCTCCCACGTTCACACCATGCTCCTGTCTCAGCCTCCCGAGTAGATGGGATTACAGTCACCCACCACCATACCCTGCTAATTTTTGTATTTTTAGTAGACACGAGGTTTCACCATGTTGGCCCGGCTGGTCTCAAACTCCTGACCTCAGGTGATCCACCCGCCTCAGCCTCCTAAAGTGCTGGGATTACAGGTGTGAGAGACCACGCCCAACCCAGGATTAATGTTTAATGGCACATACTTTCAGATAGCACCTAACCCAGCATTTCCCAAAGTCCCCTATAAACTCTATTTCCTCTAAAATCCCAGAATGATGGAACAAAAATCTCTTGACCTATGGAACCTAAGAAGCAAACTGACACCGAGTTCTTCAACAAACCAGAGCAGGCAGTTTAAATATAATAGTAAGGTTTCTATTCCCTTTCCAGCATGGATGCTTCATTCAACTTTGAATGATATTTTCATTGCCTACCCTGGTTCACTTCTGTAGCCATCCCGCAAATGAATCTTGGTCCTCAGAACAGATTGAAGGGGGGAAAAAAAAGAAAGAAAAAAAGGCAAGGCGCAGTGGCTCACACCTGTAATCTCAGAACTTTGGGAGGCCAAGGCAGGAGGATCTCTTGAGCCTGAGAGTTCAAGACCAGCCTGGGTAATACAGTAAGACCTCATCTCTAAAAAAAATTTAAAAATTAGCCAGACGTGGTGGCGCATGCCTGTAGTCCCAGCTACTTGGGAGGCTGAGGCGGGAGGATGATTAAGCCCAGGAGGTTGAGGCTGTAGTGAACTGTGATTTTACCACTGCACTCCAGCCTGAGCAGCAGAGCAAGACCCTGTTTCAAAAAAAAAAAGAAAGAAGAAAAGAAGCAAAACACAGCCAGGCACAGTGGCTCACCCCTGTCATCCCAGCACTTTGGGAGGCCGAGGCAGGCAGATCACGAGGTCAGAAGATTGAGACCATCCTGGCCAACATGGTGAAACCCCGTATCTACTAAAAATACAAAAATTAGCTGGGTGTGGTGGTGTGCACCTGTAGTCACAGCTACTCAGGAGGCTGAGGCAGGAGAATCGCTTGAACCCCGGAGGCGGAGATTACAGTGAGCCGAGACCACTCCAGCCTGGGTGACAGAGAGAGACTCCGTCTCAAAAAAAAAAAAAGAAACAAACAAACAAAACACTTCAACAACAATATAATTCTCTATTGCTGCAAAACTATTTTTTGATCAACAGAACTCTGAAGGTCACAGCAATGTGAAAGAACCAAAGGTTCACCACCCTCTGTTATAGCTTAACAGTAACTGAAGAGACTGCTTTGGAAAAGCAGCAAGAGTTAAAAAATATATTAATAATGGAACCCAGAATATACAGCTGTGAAGCAAAGAAAACTTAACATCCAGCAAACCCAGTTTATGCTTCACTTCCATACATTCTGTGAAAGCATTTTACATACTCTAAAGAGCTATATATTTTAACAGTATATATTTTATTATTTATTTCACAGGCTTCCCATGAAGGCCCATAATTTGTTGAATCTTGATTTTACTGACCTGGAACAGCAAAACAGTTTTAGCACCATCATCTATCCATCTTGGAAAATTTACATACAGTCTTTGATAGTGGAATTATCTCCACATATTCCTTGCACCTAAAAAAGAATGCACTGGTTTCTCTCTAGAACAGTCATCTTGAGTATGAATCTACAATAACCTGTAGATAATAAATTTGTATATTTTCTTATTTGCAATTTCTCCTAGTCAATTATTTCTGAACAAGATATTTACCTAGATCACTATTCCCTTAAATTCAATATCCTACCATTGAGCTACTCAGATTTAAAAAAAAAAACAAAAAAACTAGTTGGAATGGGGTGGGGGCAATAATATTGATGTATCTCAAAAGCATAATGCTTTCATACTGTTTTTTTGTTTTTGTTTTTGAGACGGAATCTCGCCCTTCTTGCCCAGGCTGGAGTGCAGTGGTACGATCTCAGCTCACTGCAACCTCTGTCTCCCCGGTTCAAGGAATTCTTCTGCCTCAGCCTCCCAAGTAGCTGGGATTACAGGTGCGCACCACCACACCTGGCTACTTTTTGTATTTTTAGTACAGACGGGGCTTCATCATGGTGGCCAGGATGGTCTCGATCTCCTGACCTCGTGATTCATCCGCCTCGGCCTCCCAAAGTGCTGGGATTACAGGCGTGAGCCACCGTTTCTTAATAGTGCAAAGACATGATCTTTTAAAAAGCAGTACCCTCATTTATACTTAGGACCATACCTCCACTCTGTGTAGGAAGTGGAAGGTGAAGATGAAGTAGGATGCCACAGAATTTGGTAAATAAGCTAATTTGCCCTTAACCCATACCCCATAATCAAACTTAAGAAGTAATTATATCTTTGCCAAACCTTCATTCCAAACGGAAAAATCCTAGCCCTTCCAGTCTGTTCTTATGTGAAAACCACTTGGTCTAGTTTCATTGTGCTTTTCTTTATGCATGCTAATATTAGAGAACTCTGCTAATGTTTTCTATTAAGCAGGTTTTCTGTTTTGCTGCACATAATGCTGTCTGGTGACACCCAGAATTTCTGGGAATAGGTTAAAATGGGATGAAGGTTGGGGGAGGGGAAACGGAGGGGGATGGGGGAAATCTAAAATGTCTACAAGACCTCCTTCTAGTACTATTATTAACTCACAGTAAGAGGCTACCATATTCCAAAAGTACTGAGTCTCTACAAAAGATAAGAAATTAGCTGGGTGTGTGATGATGTACACTTGTCTCAGCTGCTCAGGAGGCTGTGGCAGGAGGATCACTTGAGCCTGGGAGGTCAAGGCTGTAGTAACCCATTATCATGCCATTGTACTCCAACCCCGGGTGACAGAGCAAGACCTAGTCTCTCTCATTCATTCATCAATCGAGTTTATACTGATATTTTCAGTTCAAATTTAATACTGGTTTTTCCTAACTCATTTTATATTAGTGTATCTTTTCCCTCACATTGAAATTCTTGATTCATAGACTAGTTTCAGAATTATAATGTCAAATTACTAGTAACAATAAACCTAGTAAGTTTAGGTGTTTTGATTGGGGGGGGCAGTTCTTTTTGTCCTTAAAGCATATCCCACTAAGGATATAGTCAGCATGCTATATTCAAAAGTTACTGTATATTTTTTCTCTGTATGTTCTGTAAGGTAGGTTCATTTGTTTCCCTTTATATTCAATTATTGCATTTTTCCATTATTTTTAAAATGTATTTCCTGAATATGTAAAACATTTACACGGTTCAGAAGTTGAAGACCCATAAAAAAGGAATGTTCAGAGAAGTCTCTGTCCTTCCCCCTTTCCCTCTCAATCTGTTCCTATTTATTCCCTGCAGATAACCAGTTGTCTTAGTCCATTTGTGCTGCTATAAGCAAAGTGCCTGAGACTGGGTAATTTATAAGGAACAGAAATTTCTTTTCTCACAGTTCTGGAGGCTAAGAAATCCAAGCAAGATTAAGATGCTGGCAAATCGGGTGTCTGGTGAGGTCCTGTTCCTCAAAGATGATTGTGTCTAGACATCCTCACATGATGGAAGGAAAAGGGCTAGCTAGGTTCCTTCAATCCCCTTTTATAAGGCCTGATCACCTCCTAAAGGTCTCCCCTCTCAATGGTGTCACCTTGGGGGTTTAAGTTCCAACATAACAATTTTGGAGGGACATATACATTCAAAATACAGCACTGGTTTTGTTAGTTTATCTTGCATGTTTTGTATGTTTCTCTTTGCAGATATAAGCAAATATATGTGTATATATACATATATTCTTAACTCCTTTTTTCTCTTATACAAAAGATAGAATACCATATTCTACCAAATAAAATACTCTATTTTGTACCTTGTTATATTACTTAACAGTATATCCTAGAGATCACTCCATGGGAGTTCATACAGATCTTCCTCGTTCTTTATTATGTCTGCGTAATACTACACTGTGTAGCTATTAATATGCAGAGATTAGATACAGAAAAGGGAAAAAGGGCATTCCAGGCAAGATGAATGACAAATAACTGGCAGGTAAATAAGAATAAACAAGGCTTTATTAGTATATGAAAGAGAAAGTAAACCAATCAGGCTAGAGTGAAGGATTAATGCAAAAGGGTGGGAAAAATCAAGGTTACTACCATATCATACAATTCTAGGGAAGACCATGCACATCGTCATCTAAGGAACTGTATAAAGCACAGCTTAGATAGTTGTACACACTACCTTGGGTAAAGCTAAAGACGAAAAGTTGGGGCCAGTTTACAGAGGCACTTAGATTATAAGGTAAAATAGGATTTTGTCTTGTAGCCAAAGCTTCTGCAGGAAGGTGTCATGTTCAAAATGTTGCTTTAAGATAAGTAAGACCACAAACAGACTGGAGGGGGCTATAGGAGGAGGCTACTTAAATTGTCTAGGTGTGAGGTAGTAAGGATCTTATTGGGCTGACGGCAAAGAAAAGGGTATTACCTAAGACACGGTCTTGCTCACCTTCAAAGAGCTTACAATCTAGTTGTTGAGATAATGTATTATTTAAGAGTTACATAATACAGAAGTGATATTTTAGAATCAGAAGAGACCTCAGTGATCATATTGTCCAGTGGTTCTCAAATCCAGCTGATAATCAGAATCACTGAGAGGAACTTGTTAAAACATCTTCTTGGGCCCCATTCCCCAGAGATTCTTATTCAATACGTCTTTAGTTGGGTCTGGAGAATCTGAATTTGTGACACACTCCTCAAGTGATCTCCCACTGACTGGCGATGTCTGTGGACTGCTGTTCCAGTATCATCTTTTCATTTCATGGACGAAAAGTTGAATCACAACAATATTCTTTTCCAAGAATATTCAAGGAGATTACAATCTAGGGGTTGGGAAGCCTTTTTAATCAAGACCCAAAACCCAAAAGCTAAATGAGAAAGACAAATCTGACCACAAAACATTTAAAAACTTTTGTATGGCAAAGGATCCTGTAAACAAAGACAAGAGACTTGAAAAACTGTATCTGTAACAGACTACGAAGAGTTGTTATCATAATACTCCACAAGGGTTATGAAAATACATGAAACTAACACAACAGAAAAATGGCAAAGGATGGAAAAGGGGCAAATACCCAAAAGAGAGTTGGTGAAGCTATATTAATAGCCTACAAAATCGAATTTAAGGCAAAAAACTACACAAGCTTGGCAAGGCAGAAAATTCAAAGGATATCTGTGGACAGGACTATTTCTGTTCCTCATTTCTACCTTGGAAAAAAATCGTAACAAGAGAAGTAGGAGAGAAGAAGGCATTACAATTCCACAGGAAAGCTGGTACTCCTCTGACTCCACTTCCCTTTTCCTTCCTTCTTCTCTACAGATCACAGGCCAGGCTAACAAGCTGACAGATAAAAGTACAATGACAGAGTGACAAGATTAGAATTGCTTGGATAAATTTTCCTGTCTCCTCTATTTGACACTCCTAACTTACTACCCTCAGAACTTTTTTGTCAATATAACTTACGTTGAAAGACAGCTTTTGTGCACATAAAAGACTATATGAGTTACTTGGATTTACATTAAGACCTTAAGTTCAGTATATTAACAGTCTAAAGACCCTTAAATATTTTTTATAACTGTATCAGCCTAATTACCTAATTTAAAAATATTAATGTACTACATATAAAAAGATTTAAAAGAACCATATAATAAAAACTCTTGTACCCACCTCCAGTTTAAATATAAAACATGAATCCCCTAAATTTGGCATTCCCATCAAACATCTTCAGTACATTTAGCTTAATATATGCTCTTTTCCTATGTTAGCACTTCAAATGCCTACCAAGCAAATCTGTAAATACTCAAAAAGCTCTGGTAGATGTTTAAAAAATTAAACTTATAAATATAGTGTACATAAAAAGGTCCTAAATATTACAACACTTTTCAAACTTAGCAAAGTTTTCTGGCATTCTTAAACTAATAATCAAATCTAAACGTAATTACTCAAGACCATATCTTAAATGAGAATCACAAATTAATCTGCTGGATTCTTTCATATGTCAAATTACTGCAAAGATTACATCCTAAGTCCAGATGGACTTAAACTTTATTGATTTAACACATATCATGCACTATATATTATTTAAGTACTTTATAAATATTATTTAATACTCAAAAAACTTTATGAGGTAGATGCCATTGTTACCCTCATTTTACACATAAGAAAACTGAGGGAAGAAGGAGGTTAAGGAAAGCTCCCACAGTCACAAAGCTAACAAGCAGTGGAGCCAGACTTCTGGCTTCATAGTCTATGCTGTTTACCACCATGCAGTGCCACTGCTTCTTACAGGTATAATTCACTTCAACATTTCTATGTAAGTTTTACAGGACTGGAAATATGATTCCAAGCTGAAGAGCTGGGGCTAGGACATATAATCTTTCTGTGCTGATAATGGGCACATCTAGCACCTTTCCTCCTTAAATAATTGCTACAACAGAGCCTCTAAATCAAATACCGCCAGATGGGGGTTGATTTTACAATCTGAGTTCAAATTAAGATCTAATTGTGAGGCCGGGTTCGGTGGCTCATGCCTGTAATCCCAACACTTTGGGAGGCTGAGGTAGGTGGATCACTTGAGGTCAGCAGTTTGAAA